TTTTGATTCTGGTCATGAACTCCACATTGGGGGAAGGAGATGGCCATGATCATGCTGGGGGTGGGGGAGATGGCCGAGATTGCACCCGTCTTTCCTGCATGAGCACGTTCGTGATTGCGCCCGGCTTTCCTGCACGAGCGCAACCGCGATCTCGGCCATCTCTGCCCCCCTAAGCGCGCCCGCGTTCCCGCCAGTCTCTTCCCCCTCCCAGCACGCCTGCATTCGCGCCTGTCTCCCCCCCCCCCCCCCCGCAGTGCACTGGGATGACAGGCACGTGCAGGGATGACGGGCTCGATCCCGGTCGTGCTTTGGGAGTGGGGAGATGGCCTCGCTCCTGCTTGGGTTGGGTGGGGAGGGGAGATGGCCATGGTCCTTGTTGTTCTTTGTCACTTTGCTTCACATTTTTCTGATTTAAAAAAAATAGTTACAGAACGGATTAACCTTATTTACATTGAACCTTGTGGGGAAATTTGACTTGGTTCCTAACCAATTTGGGTCACGACCAGAGTCCTGGAATGAACTAAGTTCATGAGCCAGGGTACCACTGTACTTGCTTATCTGGAAGTAAGCCCCTCTGAGCTTCTGAGTAAGCATTTATAGGTTTACACTGGACATTACCATTACCTAAGCAAAAAGGGTTGATCTAAAACAGGGCTTGTAGAATGTGTGGAATGGTTTGCCAGGTCTCAGCAACATTATTTTTATTCTACATTTTTTCTGTACTAATAGTGGTAGTTTGGCTGCAAGGTACTAAAAGACAAGGCTTGCATTAATGAATGATATTTTCACTCTTCTCTTCAGGTTTGGTATTGGAGTCATGTTGGATAAATGCTTGTAGTTGTGTCTTTAAGAGCCAAGTAGTGTAGTAGTCCAAATAATAATTGTAGTTTCGTTTTGCCTTGCAGTCACCAACCTTCCTCTGCATCCTCTCATTGCTCTTTCAGCTTCCTGTTTGGGTCCCTTTCATTTTGACACCTAAAACCAAATGATGAAGGGGGACAAGGGAAGCTATCATCTGTAGCATGCAGCACAATGCATTGTTAAGATACTTTCATCCCTTCAGGATGGACCCCTAGTCTAGGTGCTGTCTAACACTTATTTCCTTCAGAGACAGAAAGATAGCTGCTAGGGTGTGCTGTGGTGTTTCCTCTGTCTGTTCTTTTGGGTGTTGCTTCTCTGCCAGGTGTGAGAGAGAATGTGAGAGGAGAATGTACAACACAGGCACACGTGTCACCCCCCCCCCCCCCCCCTTGTTGCCTGGAGGCAATTTTACTAAACCTGAATGAAGAAGAAGGGCAGGGTGAGGGTGGGGGGCCACAGCAGTTGTTAGGAACCTGAATAAACACACACAAATCCTGCAGATATTGTTCCACCCTCACCGCCAAACACATTTTTCTAATCTCTGGTATAAGGAAAAGTAACACCTAAGGTAGCTTTTAGTCTTTGACAACAACATTGCCAACTAATACTTTGCAAAGGTACTTAGTTACTGCATTCTTCTCCTTTGTCCTGAAAAACTCACCTGCTTTTCCTTTGCAGTTTAGCCAATAGCTACCCTTTACACATCATTCCTGTTGCCAGAAGAGCGACTCATCAATTTGTCATTTCTTATCATGTTGCACAGGCTATATTGAACCTACCCCCACTGATTCCTTTGGCTTTCCTTACATACGGCAAATGTTTCTGGCTTCCAGATCTCTTAATCATCTGCCCACCCATCTTTTGGCAGTTAAGTCAAGAAACAGAAGTTAGTAAAACTGATTATCAGCTCCTTAAATTAGTTTCAAGGCATTTCAGTCAGTTAAACTTGACATAGGTATGCAGATTTTTCCCCCCAGGACAATTTTCTTGAATAAATCTGAACATTGATTTAATGTCATTAATTTCAGCATTTTGCAACTCATTGCTGGCTTTGTATATCAACTGGCAGATGTATTTCCTTTTTAAACCTGCAGCCATTCTACTGCAATTGCATGATCTTGTTTTTCTTCCATGAGAATGAGCACGAGTGAGCATGCACAAATACAACATGCTTTATAGACTATAAAGTTCCTTCACTTAGGGAAATTTAGGAGAATGCAATGGCTAGGTCATTTGCAACTGGAACTCATTTTTCACTTTCTGGAAGTGACCAGATGAGTGCCTTGGTGCATAGTTGAAAAGTATAATTTTCTGGATTTACCTGTCACAGCGCAAGTAGTGCACTGAAGTGTAGCAGTGCATAGTAGTGCTATTCATGTAATGTGCTTCATTAGCAGCAGGAATTCATCCTTCCCTCCACGCCATACTGCATCTGGCAATTTCCCTTGTAAATCAAAGCAACAATAATGTCATGTGTTGATATACCTTGTAAAGCTTCATGAAATTATGAAGCACAAAAGTGAACAGGAGAAGGGTAACTTAATATGCTACAAATAAAATTTAAATATGGAAGCCAGCAACAGCAACTTGAATTATTGAAATATGACATTCTTAAACTTGTAATCATTTATCTGTCATAATTTATTTCATGGCTTTAAGGAAACCACTGTATCTCAGCTCTCATCTCCTAAGCCCTTTGGAGATTAAAATACTGTTTTCTCTGAGACTGTTGTGAGGATTACTGAGGTAATATCTGTGAACTGCTCTGAATAGTCAAAAAGTACTTTATTAACTTATGTAAGATTTGCATATTGCTTTGTAAATCAAAACGTGAGTATTTATTATTATTTATTTATTAAAAACTTTTCTATCCCATCCCCTACAGAATGTCTTGGGATGATTTACAATAAATAAATAGAATAGAACAGCCCCATGGCATCCGACCATTAATATACTAAAACCCCAATTAAAATATAAAATAACGGGAAAATGAAAAGGGGTTTTGCCTGATGTCAAAAAGAATATAGTGAATATGAATATGATGGAAAAGCTGTTTGTCTGGAATCTTTTCTAGGATATTACTAAACCGGCTAACCTTGTATACTTTTATTTTTGCCTGATTTACAGAGCTGCTTGTCTGACTTTACAACAGGGGTGTTGAACTTCTTTCAGTCTGAGGCCTGATTCCATTTCAGAAGAACACTCATGGGCTACATTCTAGTGGTGGGTGGGGCTGAAGGCAGAAGGAAACTGAGCCAAATTCAGATGGGGTGGGGCAACAGCTAGCATATTTTAAGGAAGACTGCTATGGCACCTGGTCATTTTCTGGAGCCATATGATACTTCATATTCCTGGCTCTGAGTCTGGAAACAGCATTTCACCCTTGGAACTGGGAACTGGAGTTCCAATCAGTCCTCCCCTTTCCTGACATCCAGTGCAGAAACAATTGTAGGTATCCTGGAGCTGCTTCAGCCTTCTTCACTCCTGCTTTGTGTCATCTCTAGATGGCTGGAACATACCAGAAATGCAGAGTGGATGGCAAAGATGGCCTATGTTGCCTCTCCTGCGTTACATTGAATAAGTGGGAACCACCAAGTTTAGAAGCACCCTCTTATCTTGATAGAATACACCCTTAAAGTTCTTCCTACCAGTAATTAAACTTAGGAGACGTATTTCAGTCTTTTAGAATGGATAAAATACTGAACAAAACAGAGAAACTTCCAAATGATTGATGGTTGGGAAAAGGCATGTAGGACAGGGTAAGGGGTATTAATACTAGAACCTCAGATCATCTTTTGCAACAAATTGCTGAGATCCAGGCTGGATAAACTCCTTCACACAGTGCATAATTAAAAGATGGCATTCACTTCCACAAGATGTGGTTATAGCCAGAACTCTGGACAGGAGAGAGGTTTGAACTCTTTACAAAGGGATAGGACAAACTCAGGGTGTATATATTTGCTGAGATTGGCAGCAGGAGCCCTCCTCTGGGAACCCTCCGTGAAAGATATTAGGAGGCAAAGTACCCAGAGGAGGGCTTTCTCTGCAGTGGCGCCCCGCCTATGGAATGTGCTCCCCAGAGAGGTCTGCCTGGCGCCGTCATTATTTGTTTTTCGGCGCCAGGTTAAGACCTTTTTATTCCAACAATATTTTAATAACTTTTAATATTGGTTTATATATGTTTTTAATTGCAGCCAGGGTGGATCTGTAATTCATTTGTATTATGTTTTATATTATTTTATTTATGTAAGCCGTCCTGAGGCCTTTGCGACAGGATGGCATATAAATATTCTAAATAAAATAAAATAAAAATAAAATATAAGGTCATTGGTGGCTACCAGTCCTGATGGCTGTATGTGACACTCAATATCAGGGGCAGAATGCCAATGTACTCCAGTTTTGCTGGGAAACTTTGGTGACAGGACACTGTTAGAGTCATCCCCTGCTTGTGGTTGACTACTGTGTGAGCCAAATGCTGGAGTAGATGGACTCTTAAGATCCTGTATGACTGCTCCTATGCTCTTATAGCCATCTGAGGAACTCTGAAGGGCTAAATTAGGGATCCAGGAAGGCTTGATTTGGTCTCCCACTCCTCTGCAGTACAGTGCAGTTGTTGGTTTTGAAAATGGTAAATCATGAGCTTGGTCATTTTGGCCTGGGGACACAACTATGGGCTTTCAAACCCTGGCTTGTGTAAATCTAGGCTGATCATTTCTGCTGCAAATAGGAACAGGTAAGACACTCCATTCCTGGGTTGTTTGATTATGACATGCAAGCCAGGAACCTGGCTTGTCAGTAGAGGGACAAACTAGTTTTGGAAGTTAGGATTACACTGTTTGCAATCACACTAGCAGTGATTAGGGTAATGTGCCTCAGTGAATTTGCTTGTTCACAACAACAGGGTCTTTCTTTCCAATTTTATTTTCATTTTATAACATTTTATCTGCACCAATAAATTTTGTGAATTTTCTGAATATTTAGCCGTACCATTCTCATTAGTCATGACATTTCAAAGCCTGTGAAAATTGCATTTTTATGTAGGTTTTTTTTCATTTTACAACTGAGGTTCTGCCCATCAGGCATATTTAGTACTAAGCATTTCCCCCCTTTGCTGACATGCTACTTTTCTTCCCTTCAAGTTGGGTTTGAAGACTATGGACCAGATTGTGATAGCATGAGGATAACTGCATTCTTGGACATTCCAGGGCAGGATAACTTGGCTCCACTTGCACGTCTGGAAAAATATGCCTTTAGTGATAATATATTTAACAGGTAACCATGCAAATAATTATGCTCATATTATTAAGCTGTGATTCATTTTCTCCTTTTCATAAATGCTTGGTTTCAGTAATATTTTTATTACAGATTTTAACCACATAGGTTTAAACATGTAACAATACTATATAGCATTTTTAAAATGAATAAATATCCTTTCTGTAGGTTGGACTGCTGATATTAGTAGAGAATAGAAAGGTTCTGCCACCATAAGCTGTCTTTCAGCTACATCTCCTATTCCATCCCCTTGTCTTCCAGAATTGATCCTGCTGCCTCTAATTTCTTCTTTCTTGTACAAGCAAGGTGATGTTAATATTACATTGATAGGCAACTGCTGTAAGATCTGAACTGAAATTGTGGTGGGCTTGATGTTTGGCACTCTCATACCTCTTGGAATGCCTGAATTACAGGAGGAGAGATTGTGAGGTCTTGTTGAAATCCACAGTTCCTGCTCCTTACATCCACTGTTCGCCATGTTATTCCCCCAACAGCCTTCTAAAATCAGTTGCTGAGGTTGCAAGCGCAAAAGCTAAAGAAACCAAGCAACCTATAATTCAGACCCTGACCTTCTTAGTCAGTAGCATGCCCCAAGAACTCTTCATGTTACCCAGGTAGAGTCATGGAATCTGGTTATTCTGCTTTATTATCATGCTTATATACCAAGAGTAAACCTGCCAAGAGTGATTGGGTACAGGGAGAATGTAGCACACGGGTCCTCAAATACGGGCCGGATCCAGCCCACCATGCCCATTCATCCAGCCCTCCTCAGAGGTTTTGGACTCCCCGTGCCTGCACCTGCCTTGCCACACGTGCAACGATGCGGTGAATTGCTCACTTGGAGATCGTTTTGGACTCGCTCGGAAATGTCCCACTGCTGGGCCCACTGCTGCCTCACCGGCCCATGCCCACAGACACCCCTCCACCCCACACCTGCCGCTGCCTTTCAACTGGCCCCCATTGAAAAAGTTTGAGGACCCCTGATCTAGCAGATGCAAGTGTGGAACATTTTTCCCCTTTCTGCTGTCGTGGTGTCAGTAGCTGTGAAGTAGGTATTCAGGTGTTTCTTCAAACTATGCTTTTTATGGTTTGGGAATGTAATGGAAGTTTACACACTCTGTATTGCCATCCTGTGCATCAAATCCCTCCTCCATTTCTGTTTGCTCAAAAACTGGATAAGCCAGGTTCCACACCATAATTTGCAAAAAACATGTTTTCAAATAATGGGCTGGAAGTTAGAATTGGTTATAATTTGCCAAATTTGCCCAAACCACAGCTTTGTTTCTTGGGTAGTATAGAAATTAATTAATTATAAAATAATGCATTATTTGTATAAGTAGAACAGTCTAAAAATAGGGGAGGGGATGGTACATGGGAGGAGGAAGCACATGAGACGGAAAGAGGAGCATGGTATGTTTTCCATTCTCCAGACCACTGGAGCAAAGAGGGAAAGCTAGTTTCTGCCTTGCAGCAGCACTAGCACATGCAGACATCTGAAGCATACCTTCAAACAGAAATATGTTGAGATGCATTCATAGCTTTTTGAATACTGAGAATTATGGCCAAGATTGTCATAATTAAACTACTGCTGGATGATCCATGAGTTACATTATGCCACCTTACACTGTATGTATACAAAGGCAATAAAAATACATTACTGACATGTTAAGCTAAATTGATTGTTCAGTTACTTTATCTTGCTTACAGTGCAAGGTCCAGTGTTCCTTAAGAAAAACAAAGAAATTATTTGTTGCATTTACAGGCAAATCATTGCCCGGGGTCTACTTGATGTTTTCCGAGATTTCAGTCATAATGAAGAAGATTACTTGACAGTAATGGCAATAGTGGTACGGCTATCTGAAGACACAGGTGAGAGTTTGCTCTTGTGTCTTTCTTCCTTGAAGTGGCATTTTCTGTCAGTGCTTATGTGTATAGAAAAGATTATACATGGTTGATCAAATTCAGTATTGCCTCCATTGACTGGTAGCAGCAATACAGAATTCCAGAGGTCTTTCCCATTTCCACTGGGCAACTTGGCAAGGATTGAACCAAGGGACTTCAACATGCAGAGCATGTGCTTTGCCTGAATTTACTAACAGCGTTTTCACCTGCTTTGTAACATTATTAAAATTTGTAAATCTAAAAGATCCCACTATTTATATCGTTTCAAAGCATAAGATTCAGTCTGCTCAATGGATGTGTGTGCTGTCTTTAACTAAAGATGTAGCTTTGTTTTGTTTTTTTTAAATCCACAGAGCCAACTGTTCGAACAGAATTAATGGAACAGATACCACCTATTGCCATTTTTCTACAAGAGAGTAGGCCAAACTTCCCTACAGCCTTTTCTGAATACCTTATGCCCATTGTGGTGAGATACCTCACAGATCCAAATAACCAGGTAAAGGAATCTGAGCTGAATGTATAGTTAAGTCTAGAGTTGTGAACTTTCTTTAGGGACAGTGGAGATGTAACATTATACCATCTTTAGCATTGCAAGAACAAGATGGAGTGAGCTGTGGGCTTTCCCCATCTTCTGACATGGCTGTGCAGGAGTTTTGTTTCCATTTTAGGCTAACCACAGATTATAATGATGTCCATAACAAGACATACTATTGTTATCCTAACAATGATTTGTTAAAACAGCCAAGTCCAAACTATACAGAGCTGGCTTGTTTCAACAAACCTTTGTGAAATTAATCACCATTTAGAGTTCAGAGGATAGTCTAAATTGTAGTTGATGTAAAATGGAAGTGAAAACTCTGGTTTTCTCCTTGGGCCTGCACCAGGAAAAGAGATTGGAAGCAGGAGAATGTGTAAGCCTAAGGCTCATTCTTTCCTATAGCACTAAACCATAGTTTAGTATTATGTTGGAACCCAGTGAAAAGGAAGAGCTGTTCATTGTGTTCTGTAGTTTTTATTGGACAATCTAAAATGTTTTAATGTATTGAAATATATTGGCTATTAATAAATATACCATTTATGAAATTAGATAATATTAAAATGTGCATCTCTGAGGTTTCAAACTATCCAGTGCTTTGCTGGGCAACTGCTAACAGGATGAGACAAATGACAGGTATTTTTTTGCTTCGGTATCCTCCTGTTGTTTTATTTTCTTGCACTTGCACTGGCAGAGCAAACCACAGGATAGAGTGGATCCTGGCTTTTCTTATTCCTTTCTAGTGGACTTCCCTCCTTTACCCTTCTTCTAAGGTCACATTTACGACTTTGAGAAGCAGTCAAAGTAGAGCTTTCCATAGCTGCTGTGAGGGGTGGTGGACTGGAATATAGAATCCCTCTTCTAAGTTCCTAGCAGTGTCTACAGCTTTGAGAGGGGGACTTTGAAAAATTTTATGCTCCATAGAAAGCTCTCCTAGAGACCGTGACATTACTCTGCCTAATACAATTATAACCAATCAAAACTAACCTCATAAAACAGGTAATGTACCAGCTCAAATTAAAAATAAATACAAAGTTGGGTGAAACACGACCAACAAAAATGTTTTCAAGGTTCACTTACATGTGAGTACCAAATAGGTCCTATGTACTTTCTGGGGAGAGAATTCTGGAGACATCATCTTGCAGCTGAAAAGGCACTATTCCTGGTACCTGAAGCTCTGATAGAGTTTGATGATGGGCCAGAGAGCAGGTCCCGGAAACCAGTATCAGGCCCTGAGCCTATTTGAGTCTTTAATTTAATTTAATCTGGGTATAAGTCATTCAGGACATTAAAGGTCAAAGCCAGCCCTTTAAAATGAATTCAGAAACAAAGAAGACAGCCAATATAGCTGGCACAAGATCTGATACTGCAAATTGCAATTCTCTGATAGTAGCTGCTTCTCTTGATGTGATTAAGAGACATTTTTATGTCACTAAAGTAGTAGTTTCCAGTGCTGTGAGCCGCCTAGAGAGTCTCTGGCTATGGGGCGGCATACAAATTCAATCAATCAATCAATCAATCAATGTTCTTAACATGAAATTTGAGTTTTATCCCACACTATTGCTAAGTTCTTTTGTCATGTTCAGGTGTATGCATTGAATTTTGAACTCTAGGTACAAAAGGTGTAATAGCCATGGCATGGCAGAAGCTCTTAACATATGATGATATCCATGGCTCTGATTTACTAAACACTGTGTACTTATCCAAGACAGAAGAGATCTTGGAGATTATCTTGGAATAAGTGTTTATATGATAAAGTCCTGAAGATTGCCAATTTCACATAGCAGTATAAACACATGGGAAGGGTATAATGCAAAGTCGTTCAGCTACCACATAGCCGGTTTTACTGGCTGCAATGCATACATGGTGCTTCTGTGCACATAAGTCTGTCGTCTGTCAGAGGCAGTGCTGGCCATTCATACTTGTAATTAACTCAGAAATGCTCAAGAAATTTACTTGGGTAATTTTACATGTGTAATTAATAGTAATTTGTCAAAACATCATTGCCCTGAAAGACATCCTGTTTTGAAAAATAGCCTCCTCCTGATGTATAGAATATTTTTGTTCTATCTTCTGCAGATGATACTTACTTGCTACAGGCAATCAGGTAAATGGCTAATTTCAAGCCCGCTCTTAGACCCACTCCTCCTGTTGAAATGCAGGAAGGCATTTTTTCATGCATGAGGCTTTGTGAGTGCATGAGGGTCAAAAGGTTTGAACTAAAGTCCTGGTTGTCCTCCTGTGGTATTCAGACTATTCAGCTTAACTAGTCTGAGTTTGGTCTGCTATCATAATGATATGATTTTGTAACTATATTTAACTACTGAAGCACCACAAACATCTTTCACAATGCTTCTAGAACACACACACACACATACACACACACACACACACAGATAGACAGGTCTTGATAGTCATCTGTATCTGTGTGCATTAGTGGTTTTCATTTCCTTATTCACAAACTGGTAGGTTAGAAAAGCAAGCCAGGATTCTTTACTGATTCTGCTGGAACAAGGACTTGTTGCTCAAAATGACATTGAAAAAAAAAGTGTGCCCAATCCTGTTGGATCTCTCTGCTCCAGAAAGCGATGATGAATACAAGGTGGAAGCTGTAAATGTAAGTAGTTGCTTTCTTTTTATTTGGATTTTTTTTCTGAATTGATGGTAGAGAGTTAAGCTGTATATTTAGCATCCTGGCATCTTTGAGGACACTTTTTTACTGGGCTGTCATCCATTAAACAGAAGCCTTCAATCTTGGAAGGTTCTGAGGACCCCGTGTCATGCTCAGCTGCTTCTGGAGGCAGTTTTCACCTTTCCATCCTCTTTAGAGAGTTGAGCCTGCCTACTGAAGTTATGCTGCCAGGGCTTGAAACTCCTTTTTGGTCTTGTGGAAATTCAGCCCCTTCTTTCCCCACTGCAGCATACTCACTGGTGTGCTCCCTCCCTCCCTTTACCTTCCTGTATTCAGAGTTCTGACTTTTGAGTGAGGATACTCTGAAGTTTCTGTAGAAGCTGAGAAGGAATAGGAATAGGGAAGAGCTGTGAGCTCATTCTCAGCTGCAGCTCTGCAGATCCCTCCAATGGAGAGGCTCTGCAGCATCCTATGGCACTTCAGATGGGTTCAGGAAGATTGCTCTGTCCCAAGCCTACTTTTACTATTACTGCAGCCCTGTGGAAGTCTGTTACAAACCACAGTATAGGGAAAAGACTGAAATGTAATGCATACTGGCAAACACAGAATAGTTCACTTCTTCACAAAATAGATTTTAATTCTTCAGTTGTTCCCTGGCTGCAGAAATGCAATAAGATCTGTAAATATTAAGCTTTCATTTCATTGACTCTAAATTTACTTATGTTATTCCATAAAACATAGAGGATCCTTTTTAGGTTACACTGCTGTATATCAGCCTTTTTATATTTCAGGTCACTTAAATGCACAATGGGCCAGTAAACTATTTGAAGGTCAAATTGCAGGCAGTGGTTTTGAAAAATATCTAGTTGCTAAAAAAAATCCCTGGAAAGCAATCAACATTTAGCTTTGATCTCTCCTCCCGTTTGATTTTAGTGGGCTATACGAATTGGCATTAAAATATTTGGCAACTTTTCTTAATGGCACTATCTTAAAGCTTTGCTTTTTCTCACAGTGATGTCTTAGGAATCTGTTTCATGACTTCTCAATAACTTTTTATAGAGAAATATAAATTAAATAGTTTGTTCCAAAATGTGTTGAGTTCCTTAGTTCATTTACACAAAAATCAGTTCTCTTCACAAAATATTAAAGTTTGTAGCTCCGTTTTAGCATGGATGCCTGACACTTCACCCATAAAATGACTTTACCAGCTACATTACAATTTCTTGTTTCAGAGTTGCTTAGGCCAGTTTCCAATGTAACATCTGAATGCCAGATGTCTTTTTCAAGGACTGGCAATTCCATTAAAATCAAAATGGAGTAACATTCTCCAAATTCTTACTTGGCATTCTGTTACAAAAAGTAGACTGTTTGAGCAGTAAGGTGTTGTTTTTGTTAGCTATACAGTCTGTTTATATCTTTTGTTAAACCTTTTTGTTGGATCTAATCTCATTCTTTCACCAGTGGAATGTGTACTGCTTGCAGACTGGAAGGTCCATATCCTCTCTTCCTCAGTAACCTCTCAGTCACCCTGCTCTTCAAGAACCCTCCAGTTGGGGAAGTCCCATTCCACTGGCAGTCTTTTGAGCTAATGAATAATGATCTTGGATCCAACCATGGAGTCCCCCTTTTTTCTTTCCTTATTGCAATATTTGAGTTCTTGTGGTGTTGCCAATATAATTATTTCATAAGAATCTTGAGACATTTCATGAGATTATGTGGTAGTTTTAAAAGTGTATTTTTAGAGAATGTTTTGCTTTTTAAGCCTTAAAGCAAAAGTTGGTTCTACTTTGTGTGAAAGTGTTGAAAGCCAAAGTGTTGCACAGAAAATCCTGTGTGCTAATTGTGGGTAGGGATGGGCACTACTAGAAAATGTGTTCTGTTGGAGCTTGAAAGGCTTTCAACACCTTTCCTTCCTGATGACCAAAAGTGAGTTGAGTTGTGGGAGTGGGGTTGGCTTTAATAAAATGACTCAAAATATTTGTGCAGGGAATTGCATATCTCTAGTGTTATTTACATAAATTGGGGCCAATGTGGTGAATTCAAGTCTTTGCTGTTATTGTCATAACATTTAACAGAATTGTGGAAGCATCATTCTCTCATTGCATATGCACACTTTCCATCTTGGCCACTTGATTTTTCTGATGATTAATTTCAGATTTGTGCACAGTTCAGGCATGACTTTGCAATTTGCACAAATCTTGGAATACAGCTTAAATTTTGTGCATATTTCTCCAGCTTAGGAAGGAAAGACAAATTGTAGCCCATTTTAAAAACAGAAATCCTTATGCCAGCTCAACTTGCATCAGATGTGGTCTGTGCCAGCACAGGGCTGACAGAACACAATCCATGGGGCTGAGCTGAAAAAATTCACTGGTATTTTACCATATTGGATTCCTTATAATTCCTCTTTGTGGGTATGCAAGTGAGAACTGAATGTTTACAGCCTTTAGTCTGGTTGCCTCTGTGTAGTCCACTTTTTAAAAAGTGGACTATCATTAAACAGTGGACTTATCATTAAACAGCATGCAAGGTACAACATAATTAGGGTCATGCTGTGAGGAGCAGGTCAGTCAGTTACTTCTGGTCTTTGACAGTTACTGACACAGTTCAGCTTCCAGACCTGTCCCTCCTGAAGAGGAAGCAAGGGGATGCAGGGAGAGATAGGGATTGGTTCATGGTAAAAAAAACAAAAAAACAATTAAGTCCATGATCGTGCCTTCCTGTTAATTTGTTGGTTGAAATATGTGATTGGTGAAAGTTTCCGCATAACCAATTATTAATGCTGTTTATATGGCTGGACTGCATAGCCTAAGTCAAAAGCCATGTACAGAGCACAGAAGCTCCTAGCTAAATTGGGGTGGGTTTACTGAGGAATTAATGCCTTTTGAGAATGGAACAGTTGGAAAGGGCCAGAGGATCCAACTCACTGCTCAGTGCAGGACTCCCAAGTTAAACCATCCCTCTCAGATGGCTGTCCAGCTGCATCTTGAAAGTCTCCAGTGTGGGAGAGCCCACAGCCTCCCTACATCATTGGTTCCGTTGTCGTACTGTTCTAACAGGAAGTTCTTCCTGATGTTTAGTTGGAACTTGGCCTCCTATAAAATGGGCCCATTGTTCCATGTCCTGCACTCTGGGATGATTGAGAAGAGATCCAGACCTTCCTCTTCATGACAATCTTTCAGAAACTTGAAGAGTACTATCATGGTTGCCATCTAAGCCTTCTGCAGTGGGGAGGAAGCACAGAGGCAACTTTCACCTTTGCATTCATCCTGCCCTCAGTAGGATGTTTCGAACCCTCTTTCAGAGGGTACTGAGAGCCACACTGGATTGCACAGCAGGCAATGCAGAGGCATGTAAAAGCACAATCCTATGGTAGTTTAGAAAGAAGAAAGGCCCCTATTCCCAGAATTATCTGACTAGACTTTTTTTCCCCTATTAAATGGTGTAAAATCACCACAAGCTCTTTTTCCTGCTATGCCATAAGTAGTGGAGACTTCATAGAGTCTTGTTTCTGGTCTTTTGATGAGGTAGGAAGCTGTCATGAGCCAGCAAGTTTCGCTGAAGGCTTGGAAGAGCAGTGACCTTGCAAACAGCAACTTGAATGTCTTTGTAATCCACCTTCTTCTGGTGCATTAGTAGAATACCTAGACAGGAAACCCTCTCCCTGAACCCTGTGAACTCCCTGAACCCTCTCCCTGAACTCTCTGAAGTGTGGTGACCTGTGCTGCTGGGCAACTGCTGTGCTGTTGTGCACAGGTTTGTTGACATATCTGTTCTTGAAGTCTCTGAAGATTATCAGGAATGCAGAGCTGGGGTTAAACTAATTGCAGTATGTTGAGTTCCACCATTCTGTAGGTTGCTTGGTTGGTGTATCATCCTAGAGTGCCAGCATGAGGGTTCCCCTCAGTCTTTACCCCCATCCTAATTTTGGTTCATTTGGAGGCTGATGGTGGCATCCTCCTCCAAGGTCTTCCCTGAGTTCAGTTCTGAAAGATGATGCATTCTGCTACTACACATCCAGCAAAAGGTATTTCTGAGCCACTGAAACAACCTGTGTCTACTAACAAAATTTGTAACAGAGAAATTAAAATGCAGATAACGAAATGAGATCCCTTTTCTCTGACAGATAATCTGCAAAATGGCTTCTATGGTGGACAAATCTACTGTTGAACATTTGCTTCTTCCACGATTCTGTGAGCTCTGCAGTGATGGGAAACTCTTTCAAGTGCGAAAGGTTAGCATTAGTTGACACTGGAAAATATCTATTAGAACATGGGCCCTCAAACTACGGCCCGTGGGACGGATGTGGCCCGCCATGCCCTTTCATCTGGCCTATGCTGCTGCCTGCGCGTGTGCTTGCTCACTCGGAGATGGTTTTGAACTTGCTGGGAAATCTCCCAACGAGTCCAAAACATCTCTGAGTGAGCAAACCACCGTCGCCTGCCTCCCCCACTCACGCAGGCTCACCGCTGCCTCGCAGCGTGGGGGAGGCAGGCGGTGGTTTGCTTGCTTGGAGATGGTTTTGAACTCACTGGGAGATCTCTGAGCAAGCGAGTTGCCGCCGCGTGTGCCCAATGCCACCTCGCGCACACTCGACAACACCTCACTGGCCGCGTGCCTGGCCCCTTTCACTGACCCACGTTTGTAGCCGCTGCCTTTCAACTGGCCTACTATTGAAAAAGTTTGAGGACCCCTGTATTAGAACTTCAGGGATGGATTATTTTAACGTCTAAGTACTGTTAAATAACAACCTTTTAAAAAATGGGGCAGAACGAGTATGCCTTGGATCTTTAATTCTCACTATGTATTGCTTAAGATATCTGTGCAGAACTGTAAATGACAAATGGCATGAGGTTAAGCATCTATGGCCCATGATTTAGCAAAGCATTAAAATACAAACTTAGAAGTTCAATGTGTACCTGTGTTTTTCTGAGTAAGGGTCATTGAACTGATGATCCTGCTATTGAATCTTTTCAGTCCTTTCTTGGTTATTGCACATTCTGTATGAAATGTATTCAGCTGATGTTACTGTATATTAAATAATACAGTATCAGAAACTGTAAGAGTTATATGCTGTAACTACAGTGAATAAAGATACAGGTAGAAATGTAGTGTAAAAATACATTTTCTAACTGAGAGTTTAGACAGCAATGTTAAATCCTGTCTGATGGAAGTGTAAATGCAAGTATATAAGATATACTGAGTAAGAAATAAACACTGATATGTACAACAAGCAGTATCTTGTTTCTAGGTCTGTGCAGCAAACTTCGGTGATATCTGCAGTGCTGTCGGGCAAGAAGCCACAGAAAAGAATCTGGTATGTTAAAGTCTGGGACTCACAAATCTCATGTCTAGGAGTTATACTCTGCCAAAGAATTGCTAACTATTAACACTTCATATCAAGCAGGAACAAAGTGGGATAATGATCTCTTAATGTAAACAAAGTACTTCCTCCACTGAAATGAAAAGAGAGGCCTCCTGGGGAAGAGAAATCTATATATTAGACCCCTCTGTCCCTGCAAGGGAAGACTGGATTACAGCATGCAAATACAACAATGACTGTTATTAGTATATGCCACCCTACCATTAGAATTGGATTGGTGTCGCTGAACAGTCCTTATTTCTTCTACCATTCAGTAATGGAATCCACTGTTAGACAAATATATCACCGTTTTTAAACTTTTTTGAGCTGTAGCCTTAATAACACATGGTAATGTTTCATTTTGCAATGTATGGCTGTGAAAGTTGGACCGTAAGGAAGGGTGAGCGCCGAAGAATTGAGGCCTTTGAATTGTGCTAGAGAAGACTCCTGCGAGTCCCTTGGACTGCAAGGAGATCAAACAGTCAGTGTTAGAGGAGATCTACCCTGACTGCTCTTTAGAAGGCCAGATACCGAAGATGAAACTCAAATACTTTGGCCACCTAATGAGAAGGAAGGACTCCCTGGAGAAGACCCTAATGCTGGGAACAATTGACTGCAAAAGGAGAAGGGGATGGCAGAGATTGAGGTGGCTGGATGGAGTCATTGGAGCAGTGGGTGTGGGCTTGGGTGGACTCTGAGGGATGGTGGAGGACAGGAGAGACTGGAGGAATGTTGTCCATGGGGTCGTGATGGGTTGGACATGACTTCGTGACGAGCAGAGCAGAGCATAACATAATGTTTTATTGGCTGACAAATGTAGAATTACTGTTTGATATTCCAATTATTTTAACAAAAATATAAGGCAATATATATCTAGGTAGCCATGCCTCATAGCTATATATTGCAGCTCCTCATTTTTACTCAGGTAAGGAAGCAACTTATGATCTTAGGAAATAATGTAGTGTTTCTTCCTACTACCCCTTAAGATGTAAAATGAATTATTTTGGTGTTTGCCAGAGCTATATTCAGATCTTCTTGGATTAGCTTGAGATCTCTGAATGAATTCCTCATCCCAAGGTGCTCTTGTGGGAAAGAAAGTTAAGAAAAAGTAAAATCTACTGAAGAAAGGTACCAAAGATCTTGGTAGGAAAGTGGTAGGAAATGTCATCCTAAATATGTAGAAAATCAGCAACTACAATTTGGGGCTTTCTCGGTTTTTCCATACCTTCAAGTAAAGCTTTATCGGACCTGCTTGTCAGCTTCTCATCATAGATTTAAATAAATCAGATTGACAGTTGCAGGCATCTTAGCTTTCTGGAAAGACATCAGTATTGACTCAGAAGTACGAAATGAATGTAGGTAATATTTGTAACCAGAATGGCACTGAGATAATCTTGCATGCCTTAGAAAGCATTCTATGCATGTTTAAGCATAAAAGCTTATATTTACCAGAATGATCCAGCAAGTTTAGCTGGCTAAGACGTGCTGGGAGCCGTAGCCTTTTAAAAATGGGTAAAATGCATACAGTTCCGCCCTTAATTCACTTTGTATAATTTGTTCTTCCTTCCAGTGGCTAGCCAAATAGAGTTTTCAAAAGGAGTGACCTTTATTCTAGTCCTGAAATAATTACTTGAAGGCAAATGTTGTCCAGGGAAATAAGAAGAGATCTGTAGTGCAAATTAATAAAAATGATTAATAAAATCTCTCTCTCTATTTTGGCAGATTCCAAAGTTTTTTGAGCTCTGCTCTGATACTGTTTGGGGTATGCGGAAAGCTTGTGCTGAATGCTTTATGGCTGTCTCCTACACCATTTCAGCGGAAGTTCGGAGGAGCAAGCTGTCTCCCCTCTTTATCAGTCTCATCAGTGATCCTTGCAGATGGGTAAGTAAAGATTGAAACAATTCCTCTTAAACTGCAGTTGTATCGTGAAAGGGCTTCTCAGTATTTTGTTGAAAGGAAATGTGTTCAGAGGACTGTGCCGCACCCAAATAGAGCTACTGAATATTAAGACTGTGGTATATTAATAGCTTTCCCTCTACTCACAACCCTCTGGCTAATTATTTGCAACTGTTCTTATTTGTTGATGCGTGCTGGAAGATTTAAGCAATCATCTTTAAATGATCATTTATTTATTTATTTATTTATTTATTTTCGATTTATATCCTGCCTTTTTCCTACAAAGGGCTGAAGGCAGCTTACATCTCCTCTTCCATCTTATCCCCACAACAACAACCCTGTGAGGTAGGTTGGGCTGAGAGTCTGTGACTGGCCCAAAGTCACCCAGTTAGCTCCATGGCTGGGTGGGGACTAGAACCCAGATCGTCTGAGTCCCAGTCCCATGCTCTTAACCACTGCACCACACGGGCTCTCATTGTGATCAGCTGTCTCAGTCCTCTCCTCATGCTGTGTATAACATTTCTCCTTACGCTCCAGTGGAGAGAGAAATTGTGTCATCCTTTATTTTGGAAGTTGCTTTGTTCATGACTCTGATAGAACATCTTCAGGTTGTGTCTCAAAATTCACATCTTTGAAGGCTTTGGTGCAACCCTTCCTTTCATACCCTACTAGAACTAGCCCTATTAATGGGTAACTGAAATAAACATATTCTTTCATTTTAACACATGCCTGCACTTGTGTCCCATTTCACAGTTGTCTTCCACGTGTAAAATTTTAGATGCTTAGCACTTTGGGGTGGGGACCTGTTTGGTTATACTTTGTGACTTGTCATACATGTTGATGGTGCTATATGAAAATAATAACTTGGCCCATGGGCTGAATCCAGGTGATCAACTTTCACATATCAAATGTGGATTTTGTTTTTTTCAAGGAAATAACCGTGGTCTGCAAAAAACAAAATATGCTTTTATATAATCATATTTGTGTATTTATTTTTATTTACTGTACTTTTAAACCACCCGATAACTTGAAGTTTCTGTTTAGTATACAGTACATTGAAAGTTTAACAGTGAAAGTGAAGTTAAAAAATACAGTGAAGAGTAAAATTAAGATAAAGTTAGCAGAGAATAGACCATTACCTCACCATAAAACCGAATTTACACCAGCAATAGAATAGGATACTAAAAGAATGTGTAAAAAGTTCTTAGAATATCTGAAAGAATAAAAAGGCCTTCATTTGGAACTACGACCACCACAATGTGGGTGCCAGGTCAGCTTCTCTGGTACAGCACTCCACAAATGGGGTACAGCCATGGAAAAGGTTGTCCCTTTTGTAGCCATCTACCTTACTTTCTTTGGAGGAGAGGCCCTCAGGCAGTGATTTTAATGTCTCAGTAGGCAAATATGGAAGGAGATGTTCCTTCAGGCAACCGGGCTCAAGTTATGTAGGACTTTAAAAGCTAAAGCTGGCACTTTGAATTGGGCCCAGAAATGGGCTGGCAGGCAGTGCAGACAGAAAATTAATGACATTATGCAGTTACATTGGCCAGTCTTGGTTAGCGGTCTACCCGTGCTATTTTTAACTCACCAACACTTCTAGACCATTTTCAAAGGCTGTAGCATGCTGCAGCAATCTAAACCAAAGGATGCCAGCTCATGAATACCTATCACAAGACCATCCCTGTCCAGGTAGGGCATATGCTGATGACTTATATCTGTTTAATTATTGCTGCTTGTCTACTGGTCCAAATCTGTGAGATGGCTAAAATAATCATTAGTTCAATTGAATTATAATCTGATTTGCTGTTGTAATAATAATCTTAGACTAATGATGCCCTGATGCCTTTCAAATTATTTACTGTTATTATATACTTGATTTACAGAAATGCAGTACTGAAAATATAGCTGTTCATAATTACAATACACAACATCTTACAACAATTACAACATTAAAAACAATAAAAATAATTACAAAGGGCCATTTTAAGTGAATCTAAAAATCTATCGGCAGCAGCCTACTCACCTCTTGTGCTCATTTTAACAGTGACAACATGATCATGACTGCTTGCTACAACAATAAAATTAAATATAAATAGTTCAATAAATTCACATAATTAAGTACTAACAGAGCAAGGGAGCGCTAGACTTCTGTTCTAGATCAGTTCAAATAAAATGTATTAAAAATTACCTTTCAGAGTTAGTTTTACTTTGGAATAGTATGAAGAATACTTAATCTGTGAAGAATATTTGTCAAATCTTTCATATTCTTATTTTCCCAACATTCTAGGTTCGACAAGCTGCTTTCCAATCTCTTGGACCATTTATTTCTACTTTTGCAAACCCTTCCAGTGCTGGTCTTTACATTCGGGAGGATGGGACACTCAGTATTCGGTCTTCCAGTCCATGTCCAGCAAGCAACAGTGCAAACATCCTGTCATCAAGGTACAGTGATTGGCATTACCAGTGATGGCTGACTTGAAATGAATGCGATTCATTAATGCAAGGCAAAAACCAGCAAAAAACAGATAATGGATTTTTTCCTACAGTTTTTAGCCTTTATGGTTGTAATATCAATATGTCCATGTTTTTCTCCTCTTATAAAGAAAAGATAGAGGATTTATGTAAGCTACATTGATTCAATGATCCTAAAAATATACAAGGATGTATATAGGACTGATATAGCTATTATTTGTTTCTGACAGCTGATGCTTTCTCCTTGAATGTATTATTCATCTTGAATGTAAATAAGGAGATGCAGCTCCGAAGGAACTCTGGTACTGTTTTGCTAGTTAGTGCCTGGGTCCCTAGCATCCCTTAAACATAGCTATGTGCAAACTCGCATGAAATCATCAGATGTAGAGACACTTGATGAGAACTAGAGAATTGTCCAGGGCCATTTGTGACACCAGGACAATTTCAAGGAGTCTGTTCATTCTGGATGCATGGAGGCTATTAGCTAATTGCTATGGCATGTATGTATGTATTTTTTATACTGTCCATATGCCCAAAACAGCTCTCTGGCTGGTTATCTAGAATGTGAGTGGGTATTGGGCTTATATGGTCTATTGCCTCTCTCTTTTGACTGTGGGAAGAAGTATGAAGAAGCAAGACTTCTATTTGACGTTGAGGCCTCCTTGATCAAACAAGCTAGATTCCAAGAGCAATTCTCAGTCTCTCTGCAAGAAAAACTTGAGAGTAAATGAATAACCCAGAGACACTTAGGTAGTCTGAAGATGATGTAGGCTGATTTTATGCAACCTCATTGTCTTTGAAAGCAGGATTGATTCTGAAGGAAAGATTATCACTGTAATATCCTATTGTTACCTGAATCATAGTTAAGATCCTTTGTTAACTGAAAATAGTTGTTATGAAATATGTTCAATTTTGGCTAACAGTATTTCTGTTATTAGTTCGGAGGAGCCGGTGGAGAATAAATTGGAATCAGTGAAAGAAGCATCCTCTGTTAGCTTTACAACTTGTTCTGAAACTTCAAATTCAGATGCACAAGAAAAAAGCCCAGTCAGACCTCTAAATTTTGGAGTTGATCAGACTGTATTGACTCAGAGTAACAATGCTGATCTTTATGCGGATTATCAGGGAATGAACTTAAGGGTCCAGTCGGCAGAGGACATGTTTAATACTTTCCTATATTGGCGTCCTCCTCTTCCTGACATAAGCCAGGATTTGGAGCTGCTTCAGTGCAAACCTGAAATACACGAGGAGAACTGTTCCACATCAGAGCTTCTTTGCAATAACTGTGTTGCCAGCAGTGAAATTAAAAAAGTTCTGCAAAGTTTGCAGGAACATATGGATGACCCAGATGTTCAAGGTAAGATCTTTTTCCAACTATGTTTGATTTATTCTTCTGTTGTTAGAAACCTGTCAGTTGATTCTTCTGTGGCTACCATGTACCTCCTGATTGCTTTCTTAAATGGAAAAATGCTTGCATGTGGTTCCCTTTGATAGCAGTAAATTCCTACATTGCTTTATAATTAAATAAAAAGTGAAGTCAGTTTTTAGCAGCAGTTGATGGAAAAACTTTGCTATTCTAAAGTGCATCTTATTACCCACCTTAACTGCTTCCTCCCGCCTCATGGTTGCATTTGCAAGTGGACTGTACCCTTGGCAGAAAAAAGGATGATGAGTGATTTAGGGCAGTTGGACTCAAGGTTTCTGATGTTAATTCTGGTCTTTACCTGTGCAATGCCTTCCAGGAGAGTTTGTCTAACTGAAGGAGTAAAATCAGAAGCTTAATTGGGTGTCTGGTTGTGTAAGCTACAAGTGAAAGCTAGCTTTAAATGCAGTTAGTGCTACTAAGCATGTTTACTCAGAGATAAATCTCCCTTTTTACAAAGGGGCTTGCTTTCTAGTAAGTGTGCTTAGGAATGCAACCTTGTTCACTGGTTCCCTAGCAGATTGCTAAATAGGAACCAAACTCATCTTTTGTGAAAATATCCCTATAAAAATCAGATCTGAAGTCTGGATACATAAGGCATGATGATAAATTAAATGTAAGAAATGTATAATGGGAGAGGAGAAGCAGCAAAGAGGCTTAAGGATGACCTGTGCTAGAGCTCTTAGCTTTGTATCTGGATGCAGGAAGCTAGACTCACACCTATACCCCACAGCATAGTTCTTTTGTGTAAATGTGTGGGAGCACAGCCTAAACCCATCTACATCTTACTGTCTCAGTTATCATTAAAAAACGTGCCTGTGAAACTGAAGCTTCCAAATAGCCATCATTGCTAATAGCCATTGATAGTTCTATTCTCATGAATGTGTTTAGCCACCTTTCAGGCTAAGAACAGTGAGCTAATATGTGAATGCTTAAAAGATTTTGCAGTGCATTTGCTTGTTCATTTTTTGTGGCTATATTCCGCACTTTTCATGTAAGTCTTTCTGACACAAGTTTTTAGGAGGTGTGCATGAAAAGAAACTTAATAGGACCTGTTCCATCTAATCAGCTCAGGTTCAAGTCTTATCTGCTGCACTCAGAGCTGCACATCTTGATTCTGTAAATGATTATGAGATCAAGCAGAATGAAGAAGTTAATGGCACCCACCAGGAAGATACAGCCAGTTTACACTCAGAGCCAAGTACAGTGAATGAGAGCACACTGTCTTCATTGCCAAGCCTGGATGAAGTGGTGGCCCCATCCTGTCCAACTATAATACAAAATGTGGTAAGTAGCTATTGTGGTAGGAAAATCTGTTTTGTGGGGTTGAGCTGACACCAACTTCTTCTTGTCAGTCATTTCATACTACTAAAGAGTTTATTTACTTTAACTTTTAGCCTGCCATCTTAAAAAGGTTGGGCATTGTGCCTATAGCTAAAAGGGAAGCCAAATATAACTAGCAGTGTTCACTAAATTATCTATATGTTTGTCTAAATACAGCCCAGTACTGGCTGAACCCCAGACCCTGGAAGCCAGGCAAATACCAAGGCTTTGCAGCACTTCCAATAAATACTTGGACTGGCAAATCCCCATGAGAAGGGAGTTGAGAATTACAGATTGGCCGCTGAGAATGGCACCTTTAGTGGAGTTTAGGAAAATTTCTAAAAGTAGCATCTTGGAGGTGGACTGGGTAGAAGAATAATGAAGCTTGGAATTTTCTGCTATATCTGCCAAGGCAAATCAAACATATGCTAGTCAGTTTGTTTTCCCAGAGCAAATATTGGACAACTTTGTCAATGTTTTGTTTAAACTGGAATGCAACATCATTATACTTCAGGTACTGAGTAGCACATTTGAAGGTAATTGGAACAACTGAGATTAAAAATGAGTTAATGAGTGACATATCTGTTTAAGAACACTATATGTTATAATTAAGCATGCAGCCCAAATATGGGAAAATTTACACTGAAGCTGAATAAAGTTACAAGAAGGCTGAGGAAAGTTACAACTGTCAAAAACAGAACTGTTTTCGCAAAGGTTCCCTAGAGAAGGGGTGGCAGACTTCTAGTTGCTGATCTAATCTTATCTATCTAATCTCAAAGTCTGTCTAATCTTAGCCAGACTTTGTGATGCCCAAATTTTGCCTCTGCCATCATTGATATATGCCTACTCCAGACCTTCAAGTTTCTTGGTGGATCCCATTTATCCTCCATATTTTTACTCCAATCATTCAGTGGTTTCCAAGCCTTTGCATGTTTTCCCCAAAACTATGTGTGGCCTTTATCTTAGGAGTAAGAATAGTATTTTCCCTTTCATGCCCTTTCCCTCAGTTCCCAGCTATGTTTATTTTTCCAGCTTTCTTCTGAGTAAAGGGGCATACTATGAATAGCATGTGTTCTAGATTTTTGAAATTCTCAGGTATAGCATGGTCTGAGATATGCATCATTCAACATATACTTTAAACTGCCAGCAATGGGTTTGTATTTCGGCTATGGAGTTAGTACCTTTTCCTGTATGTTATACTTTTAGTATAACAAAGTATGGTGTTTAGCTGATTAAGTAAAATCCAGTTCTTCCAGGTTTGTTCCACCTTTGAGTTATATTGTGTTTTAAAGCACTATTCCATATTTCATTCCAGATTTTGTTTTGATCTTCCCATAAATATATATTACACATTTTTACAGCTTTCAGAAGAGCAAAGCAGTGCAGCCACCAAAATCTTAGAGGCAGAAGAGAATGAACCACCTCTTGAAGAAGATAAATCAAAATTACAGGTTGTTTTAAATATTTCTTAATATAGGATAGGGAAGTTCAGTTTTTATCACTGAAGTATTTTATTTAAACATGTGTCCAGAAGCTAGCCTTAGTGTTTAAAGAATGTGTTTTTTGATGAGACATTACTTTCTAAACTAGACTATGAGCTCAAGGACCCTGTCTTGCATTCTTCCTGTCCCTTCTCATAGGGTAACATGTTAGATTTTGCCCACATGAATACTGTAGTCATCTTACCATGGATCTTGCTCAATTTGGAATTATATTCTGAGATACACAGTGGGACAAGAGAGCCCTTTTAGCTAATGGGCAGGATAGAAATCTAAAAAATAACATGCTTGGACAAAAGTTAATTTTTACTTAGGAAAAGGAGTATGTGGCTCAGTCTCATATTGGCTTCAGAAAATTACATCCATCCAGCCCCTAAATAAGGATGCATACTAGATTTATGTAATTAAAACACACAACCAAACTTTGAGATGCCCAAATCTTGCTTCTGTCGTTTTTGTTATTCACATATGCATAGTCATAATTTAATAATGCATAAGTACAGTTATTATGTGTAACTCTTTTTGTAACTCATCATCAGCCCAACCTTTATTTTGTGGAGTTAATCAGGTGTGGTAGAATATTGTCAAGGCATTCGACCTTGAATTACCAAATGCTTCTCTATGACAAAGATGATGGAGTTTAGTGGGTTGCATATTTTATAATTGTTACAATTCTATTCTGGCTTCTTTCCATTGTGCAGTTACCATCTGGAGTGGGAGACAGAATGCTATACTAGAGCAGATGTCTTTCAGTGTTTGATATATTATTTCTCTTGTTTAATTTATTCTTATCAATAATGTACTGTTTTTGTCTCCAGGATATCATACCTCAGCCTTTATTGGACCAGTACTTATCTATGACAGACCCTGCTCGAGCACAAACTGTTGATACTGAAATTGCAAAGCATTGTGCATACAGTCTTCCTGGTGTGGCCTTAACCCTGGGCAGGCAGAACTGGCACTGTTTGAAAGACACCTATGAGACCTTGGCATCTGATGTGCAGGTAAAGTATATGAAAGTCAAGCAGAGCTTCACACCGTATGTTTTTCTGATGTACATGTCAGATGCAGTATTTGGCACACTTCCATCTATTCCAGTCTTGCTATTAGAGCCCCCCAAACTCCTGTTGTTTAGGCTGATCGATGGAAGCAAATGATATAGAAGACCACAACCTTGCAATATCCACAGAGTGCTTGCTTCTCCCAGAGGTCATAATTTGATTATGAGTCACTTTAACCATTTAATCTTCAGCCAGTTAGGACAGCATGATGAAGAAACTTTCTTGTGCAGCCCTGTCAAGAGAAACATATATCCGCAGTACAAGCAATGAGTGAACCAAGCCCAGTGTTCACGTCAGACCTAGAACTATTTGCCAGATGCACGTGTTTTTAGAGGACTTCCTAAATATGTATTTTATACTTAAAGAGCAGATCCCATTTATTTTCTATAAACTCAGTGTGGTTTCAAACAAAATTATCCAGTCAAATGCATTCTTTGCAGCAACCAGGCTGTTTTTTCATCTTGTTATATATTTGCCTCTTCTTCAGACTCTCTTTTTGAACACAGTACAGCACTCTGCACATATAGAACTCTCTCTAAAATAGGATGTAAAGAAGCTTCTGTGGAAGGAAGGACTGTGCACTGAGTCGTGTGTGTGTGTGTGTTAAAGCGAATAACACAATAAAACAAGCAGAGGAACACAAGATCACAGGTTTTGAGGCTTTTCTCCCTATTTCCACCTGCTGGTTTCACTCTGAGGTGGAGGACACTCGCATTAGGATTACTCACCTTCCATGGCTTTGAGGACATGCTTAAATGCCCCCCCCCCCCCGGCTTTTTAAAGCTGAAGAGTTGTAGACATGGTACCATTTCCTCACAGGAGGTTCCCTCCAGCTCCTTGGTTATTTGGATTACCCTTCTCTAAACATTTTCTAGCTCCGTGATTCCGTTTGTTAAGGTGTGATACCTGGAACTGTGCCTATTCTTTAAACTACAGTCACAGCATAGATTCATATAAAGGCATAATGATACTGACAATTTTGATTCCTTTGTTTGAAAAGACTTAAACTTGTTACGTTTACTCAGTAGTGTTGCTTTTCTTCTTGTTAACTGTTACAGTGGAAGGTACGTCGGACGCTTGCTTTCTCTATACATGAGCTGGCTGTTATTTTGGGAGATCAGCTAACAGCAGCGGATCTCGTGCCCATTTTCAATGGCTTCTTAAAAGATCTGGATGAAGTGCGCATTGGCATCCTTAAACATCTTTATGACTTCCTTAAGGTAGACAGAGCTTGAGCTATCTATCTTTTTCCAACTTCCTTCTTACCAAGGAACTCAAGGCAGCTTACATGATTCTACTCTTTCACTCACTCTTATCCTCACAACAACAACCCTGTGAGGTATTTTGTGCGGAGAATCTGTGACTGGCCCAAAAACACCCAGTGAGCTCCATAGCTGAATGGGGACTGACAATTTATTTAAAACTTTTTTATGCCATCCCATCACAGATATCTCAGGATGGTTTTCAACAAATTAGAACCCTGAATCTTAACTACTATACCACACTGGCTACTTTATGTTATATTTCAGTTACTTTTTCTTTCTGGTGCATCCTTGGTTGAGAGAAGCATGTGGAACACATTGTTTAAATTGCTTGACTGATTGCCTTTAATGTTTGCTTTATTTTAAAAAAGCAGCTAGGCTGAGTTCTATCCCCCTCCCTTTGAACATTGGATGTACAAAGGCAGCTTTTGATGCAGTTGAAAGTAAGGGTATCTCCCCTACCCTTTTTAAATGTGCTTAGGTCAGTTTGTAAAACGCCATGTGCACCTGCACAAAATAAATAATGGATGTTGGATTGGAGCCAGTATCTGTGATACTCTGTATTGTTTCACATAAATTCACAGAAATATCTCAAATGGATACAACAATTGAATGGCGTTACCTTTTATTTAGGGAATTGCTTGAGAGCAGGAATTTTTTTTAAAAATTGTCCTCTTCAACCTGAAAAGTGCACCTACCCAACCAGCACTTTCATGGTGGGCATAACATATAAAAGCCTCTTAGTCCATGTGCCAGCCCATTTTTATGCAGCAACTGCTGTCAGTGTTAATTTTGGCAGCCTCTTTGTGGGTTGGTAGATGGAGTGTGTGTGCTGGTCTTACTTTTAAATAGGTTGTGCTGACATGAGCGAGAGGTTTTGGCAGCCTCCACATAGGAACTATAATGTTTAAATTGGCTCTAAGTCTTTAACACATTGCACAAGAAAATAGAATGTATGTGTAATGATAATTACTGGTGAAGATGGCCAGTAGTCTGTAAATGTTTGGCTACTGGAACTTTGAAGGTCAGGACAAGTGGATACTTGAGCTTGGCTCTTTATTTCTATTGGCAGAAGCAAGATAGCACTGAGGCTTAGGGTACAATCCTGTACACATTTAGGCAGAAAAAGCATCTTCCAGCATTCCCCAGCCAGCCATAGGACCGTTTCTGTCTTAAACATGCATTGGCATGTGCTCTGGCTGTTTACTGATTACATTTTAATCTTGCTTTTCCTCCATGATGCTTTAGGAAGCATACCTGGCTCCTCCACCAGCCTATTTTGCCTTCCTGAGAAACCGGAGACATGGGTTTCACTGGTTCAGGCATACTAGGAAATGGTAATTTCCTACTACAGTGACCAGCCACAGGAGTCCTCAGTCACATGTGTTACCTCCTTCCTTCTTTCATGAAGGAGATTGGAAGCTTCTAATTCCCATTTTAAAAAAAATCACAGTTCTATGTGGCATCAACCATGAGAAAGTATGGTTGTTTAAACCCTACTTTAAACCCTAGTTTGTTAAGAGCAAGCCAGTACCAAATTGTGGGGGCATTCAAGCCTGAGGCTCGCTGTGGCTCATCCATGAAATGTCTTGTTACATCTGAATGGAGCTTGTGAGATAGTGACTATCCCATGTTCTGCAAGTTAGCTTTTGGCTGAATACGGATTTGAACCCAGGTGGCCTTGGTCCCAATCTAGTACTGTAACCTGAATGACACCACTAGTTGTTAGTCTGAGTGGAATAAAGCTGTCTTTAGGAAGGAAATGCTTAGTGCTTCACAAATGTAAGCTACTAGAACACTAAGGAATGCCTGCTTTAATTTTCCAACTAAATCGGTAATAAATCGTTTAAATGGCCACACATCATTTTATTTCTGTTTTATAGTTGCTTCATGCTGACAAAAGACGTGAGTACCTTTACCAGCTTCAAGAGTTTGTGGTTACAGATAACAGCAGGAATTGGCGATTTCGTTATGAACTTGCAGAGTAAGTAAAATTTGTTAGACTCTTGTATCTTGGTGTGTAATTGTACCGAGCTATAGCAAGCATTGGTTGTTTTCTCCTAATCTTCTATAAAGTATTACTTGTAATGCAAGTGACAAAAAAGTGGAATCAATTGATGGGAAACCAGGCAAAATTTGAACCTGTAAATGGGAACAACACCACCATTGAGTTTGAGTGAGCTCAGTGTACATGCTCAGTTGTAGCCACATTCTGTTGCTTTTATCTAAACATTGCTTTCATTCATACCATGAATTATTCTAGTGTAATAACTCTGACATCTAGTGGGAGAGCCGTATCATTTCATTACATTTCTTTCTTCTACAAAAATCAGCTGTTGATGTTTGTTGCATCTTCTGTGCAGGTTGCAAAGAATCATGCATCTCGTGAAATGTTGGAATAATTTATACTTTGCTTTCTAAATACTCAGATTTATCAGATCTTTTAAATACTTCCTTTATTTGAAGAGTCCTCCATTAGCACACAGCAGTACTAAGCAACATTTCATGCTCACATTCTTATTCATGTTCTTATCTGTACTGAAAAATCCAGCATTTCTAAAGCAGCACGGAATAGTATTAGGATTTTCCTTTCCTTTCGCTTCCTTTCTGTCTGAATGTTGTGTCTGGATTGACAGTTGCCCGAAATAGTCAGCTCAGAAAAACCATCTCACATCTTACCTGTGACATGAGCTTAGTACGAAGCTACTATTTGCTTCACCTCAGCCCCCTGTCTTAATATGGGGATGATAGTACTTGCTAATCCCTGCAATTTGTGCAGTTGCGGGGGGGGGGGGCAGATGCTGTCCAATCTGCATAATCCACCTAATTAACGTACTTTTGCTGGATGGAAAAATCCATATTGATGATTTGATTGTGCCAGAGTTGTTTCTTCTATTCTTGTGCCTTGCTGGTAATGCATTTTGGAGAGTACTTGGTTTTTCACAGGTATGTAGAAGGAGAACAGTGCTGTATCCACATACTTCATTGCCCTGCACTGTGTGCCCATTTGATGCTTTCCCTGGGCTCAGAGGGACTCAGAGTTCCACATGAAGAAGGGGGCTTGGCTGGCACTGGAAAAAGCAGCAGCTCTTCTTGGAATCAGCTATGTCTCCTCCCAATCCTAATTGTATCACTGGGTTTATCTTCAGTCTGAGATTGGAGATAACATGGCCATTTCTTCAGTGGTGATTTCTCTAGGGATGGGGCTTGAAGGTAGAACTTACGTGCCAGTGCCAAAGTAGGTTGAGTGCCCTTGCAGTATTGTAGAGGACTCAGAATGGCTTACAGCAATTTAAAATCATGAAATCCAAGTAATGGACAATACAGTTAAATAGCAGTGTAAATGAGAAGAACAGTATAAAGAAGTTGAACTGTAAGATTGGAAAGGACCAGTGCCTCAGACTCTGGGGAGTCACTATCAATCAGGGTGGATAGTACTGGCCAGATGGACTAATGTAATATTAATACTGCTACTACAAATAACAGCATTACATTTATACTCTTATACCTTAAGTTGCTTCCTCTTACAAGCAACTCAAGATGGCTTACCAGGTTTTCCTTCCCCACCGTTTTATTTTCAGAACAAGTAAGTTCCTTATCTTTTTAGTTAAAACATCTTCATAGAAGACTGTATTCTGTTTATTAAATGCATACATTTTAAACTGACCAATGACTGAACTGAATAGTGGACAAATTCAAAATATGATATGAAATGGTGATAAAACAAATAAGATGAAGCCATCAGTAAGACGTAATCAAACCAAAAATGAAGTCAACAGCTTTATGAAAGAGTTGGAAGATCTAAAAAAATTAGAAACAGTTTCTAATACTTAAGTAACAGAAGAAGTAACTTCAAAGCCTTGCATTCATATTATATTCTGTTGCAGGAGGGTAGAAGAATTAACAGTGTTGTAAATAATTATTTATCTTCTGTTTTAGGCAACTGATTTTGATACTTGAGCTGTATAATCCCAATGATGTGTATGACTACTTAAGACATATTGCACTCACTCTCTGTTCAGATAAAGTTTCTGAAGTCAGGTGGATCTCCTTCAAGCTGGTAGGCTGTTGTACTTTTGTTCTGCCTACATTTGTTGTATGTTGTATATTTGGTTTCACAAGTCTTTTTTCCTTACCTTTTAAAATGTCCTTTCCTTATTTTGACTGTAGTTTCCCTATTAGAGGTTTTATTTGAGCTTCCTTCTTGTTTTCTGCAACAGAACAATGGCTACAAGGGATACAGTTCTGTGGGGATAACTTGGGAGGATTGTGGGCATCCTATGCGGGACAGGAGGACTGCAGAGGTGAACTTTGCCTCTGTGCTTCTCCTGCTCTTCAGAGTGCTTAGATAGGCTGTTTCAGCTGTCTGTGTTTGGAGCAGGCGGGAGGGAGGCAAATGTGCCAGCAGGATGCCAGTCTCTTCCCTCCTCACCCCAAAACCTGTCCTCTGAGATGGTTCCTCTAGCCTTGAAGCACCCTCCCCACCCTTGTCAGGGAAGAGTGCCCCAAGCAGGGAGTCTCTGTCCTTCTGTATACTGTCAAGGGGCCACAGAATAATTCTTCCTAAATACCTAAAGCTTTTAGGTATTTGTTGTGTTGGTAGTGCCACCTTTAACTGTTGCCAAGCTCTGCATGAGTTCTGCTCTGGTACCTTTGCAGGTGGTAGCAATTTTGCAGAAATTTTATGCAAACAATGCAAACTCTCTGGGATTAAATTTCATTAATGAGCTGATTGTGAAGTTCCGCCATTGTTCCAAGTGGGTTGGAAGACAAGCATTTGCCTTTATCTGCCAGGTGAGTCGCCTTGGCTTTGGCCTTGGCCTTTACCTCTCTCATCTTTCCTTCTTTTTTCTTTGTCTTTTTTCTTCTTTGCATTGCTGATATGTGCATAAAGAATAGAAATGTCTGGCACAGTTGCCCTGCAGAAACTAAGCAGGGCTGTGAGCTACCTGGATGGGAAACAACCTGGAAGCCATATATGAGCTTGCTGGACTGCATGGAGCAAGAATGGGACTTGAATGTATTATGCTTGTGACATAAACATTTACAGGAGGGACATACATAAGTTTGAATTGCTCATTTGGATAAGTACAAAAACACTATTAGCTTCTTAGAATTTTTTCAGGGATCTGTTAAATCTATTCTGCCCAGAGCACAATCAAATTTTAAAGGATAGGGCAAGAGGGTACATTATGACGTGAAGACAAATAAGAATGTGTTTACAATTAAAGAAGCATTTGTCATGTTGATGTACAATGAGCAGTCAAAACACCCATCAAAATCCATGCAACTCCATGCAACATTTATTCAGTATATGTTTCTTCCTCCTCTTGTTGTCTTTGCTTGTCTAACCTTTTTAAAAATACCATCTACCTAGTTGCTCTGATATCAGTGGGCCCACATTGCTGCTTAAAATGCAATATCTCTTCTTAAGTCATTCAATAATTGATGATGATGATGATGATGAAGAAGTAGCACTTAAGAATATCCTGAGTGCTTCATGTAAGTTCCTTCCATGTGTGCTTGCTTAATAGGCAATTATTGTCACCATGTTGTGCCTAAGGGCTGTAAGCAAGGCTTGCCTGAGGCCAGCAAGTGTATTCATAGCAGATGAGAGACTTGGATATTTTTTCCTCACTATCACATTGTGATGGATTCCTACCATTACCTCTTAGGGATCTTACGTTGAGAGTGACTTGCACATAATCAGGATTACACTATGCTGAGCAGGGATTCCAATTCAGTGCTTCTAGGCCCACTGCCAGTGATTTTCCTACTGAACCATACCGACTCTTGCTTATTATTCCTTTGAAAATGAGAATTGCTGTTCCGTTAGTTGAGTATGCCTAACTTCTCTCTTTTTGTTATTGTAGGCAGTTGTGGAAGAAGAGTGCATGCCTGTTGACCATTTTGTGGAACACCTGTTACCCAGCCTTCTAAACTTGGCCTCTGATCCTGTGCCAAACGTAAGGGTTCTGCTTGCCAAAGCTCTGAGACAAACATTATTGGAGAAAGGTATGTTAATTCCTCTCAAACATAAACTGTTTTTAAGTACAGTGAGCACTGCTTGGTGCATAGAAGTCAGGGGTCACAAGCTTTTTGCTCCCAAGAGCCACATCTGGGGTTGGATATGGGACTGGAGGCTGAGCTTTTACATATACATGTATGTAGTGCACATTGTTGCCCCCCCCCCACTCCACACACACACTCCCTTGCATATACATCTTTTTTTTAAAGTAAGTTTTATTATTATTTTTCTACCAACTAACAAAAGAAACTAAAAACCATCAGTCATCAGAAACATCAGACCTACTGGGTCAGCCCCCCGTACTTTTTTTTATAGTAATCCGTAAACATATTTGAATCTATGCACAGTCCCGTTTCTCTAGTCAATAATAAAAAGAGTTCCAAGTTTGATAGAAGTCCATACACATCTTGAGGTGTTCAGGGATGGAATAGCTTAAACTTCCTCTCCTTGCCCACTGAGAACTAAAGCAGGGAAAGCAGTGATCCCGGAGACAGGGATGCTGCAGGCGGAGGTAAGTTTTCACCTCTTCCAGTGATTTCCAGGGAGATTTCCAGCTGTTTCTCTGCTGCCACAATGGGGGTAATAGTGATCTCAGAAGCGAGGTTGCTGGGAGTTGGGAGATGTTCTGCCTCCCTTAAGCCTTGACAACGCCATCTCCATCTCCATCAGCATTAACAGCAACAGGGTCTGGGAATATCAGGGAGCTACACAGCAGGGCGTGGGTGAGGGCAGATAGTGCTTATCCAGTGTAAATTAAGGCAACACATGAAAGTTAGAATTGTGCATTCCTTCTGAAATGAAATCTTTTGGAGAGACTGCTAGCTATTACAAAACACCTGTGCTACTGGCACACATCCTCTTCCTGGTTACGTCTTCGATACTGATATTGAGCGAGTCAGGAGATACCAGTGTCTTGCTGTTTCTGATGTCCAGAACAACCCAGTGCAAAATGAGATAAGAGCATGACACATAGTATTAAGTACTTATTTTGCCTGTGTTGGATCTGCTACCGATCAATTATAATGGGTGACTCCAAATTCCAGTCTTATCAGAGATAAAAACAAGTAATTGCTGCCCATTTTCACCACTCCATACATAGTTTTAAACACCTGTTATGTACTTATGCTCAATCAGACCATGGATGGGGTACACTTCAGCCCTATTTTTCCATTAGAGAAGGTGCTCTAAATCCTTAATCATTTTGATTGCCCTTTTATCAGCTTCATGATATCCCTTTTGAGATGGGATAGCCTAAAGTGTATATGACATTCGTATGTGGCAAGATATTAGATTTATGGTGAGATACTGAAGTACTAGCCACTCGATTTTTAAGCCCTTTTCCGATTGTAAGCCCTCTAACATGGAATTCACTTTTTTCATTGCTCCCACATACTTACTTGATATTTTCATGTTGTTGTCCACTACAATGCCATAATCTATTTCTTGGTTTTTAAGCGCCAGCTTATCAATGCTATTTCAAATCCCATCAGTGTATACATGATGTTAGAATTGGTTGCCAAAGTGTCACTTTCCACTTACTTGCACAGAATTGCATTTATCAATATTTCCTACACACCCATTTTCAGCAATTCTTTTGGAACTCTTCACAGTTCGCTTCAGTTTTCAACTTCCCAAATAATAAAGTTGGCTGCAAACGTAGCTACTTCAGTGCTCATCCCTAACCCTAACTTTAGATAGCACCAGCCTTAGTGTAGAATCTTGGAATTCCTCAATACTACCATTTTCTTTACTCTTACACTTCCCCGTACTTCACCTGCTTGTTTTAAAATATTTGCCACTTACCAGTTATCAATTTATTAAGAGGACATGCCTTGTTACCCCCCAGATACTTTGGCCTATAATTCCCAGTATGCCGTACTACTGGTCATCCAGGCTGGGGAGCTGACAAAACATCTAGAAGGCATCAGGCTAGGAGGGCTGTCTTATGGCTTTGGACTGTATTCAGGAGCCTTGATCAGCTCTTTTCAACATTTGCCCTGCATGTCAGTGGAAATGGCGTTTACCTTTGCTGACTGCCTTTGTGGATCCATGTGATCAGTTTTTCAGACAGATACGAACACAAACCTGCTTACACTTGGAGTTGGTTACTGAAGACCTTGATCTGCAACCTTTTGTCTTCCAAGACAGGGCTTTTTGTTGCTGCTGGATAATTCAGGAAGTCCAATTGGTTCCTTCCTCACTGCGAGTTGTAAAAACTCACAGTTTTGCCATCCTTTATTCTGTATATTCTTGCTATTTCCCTGCTGCAAAACTATTAGGGTGCAATCCAGTGTTGCCTATTGCAGATGTCTGTATGCTGTGGAACTTTGAGGGCTTATATGCATTCAGTGCATGGAGCAAGCTGCAGTAGCAATGGTTGCCTTTGTCACAGTGCCTCACAGTGTGCATTTTATCTAGGCTGTTGTTTTCAGATGAGGCACCAGGAAGGGAAGGCGGTATAGACGCTGATAGGAAACAGAGTAAGCTGCTCATCCCGGCCTCCTCCTCACCACTGACACCACCCGTTTTTCACCTCTGCAGCCCATTTGCATCCTTGTAGAAGGTGCTGGTACAGATTTTTCTGCTCTGGCTGTGAGGGGTTCAGGGCAGGAGTTTGACCTTCAGAGTCCCAGAATTGGGACTTTGAGTAACACTATCTCCCCGCGCCGTATATACTACTGTGAGGCCATTGGATTACGACCTTAGTGGCTTTTATTTTATCTTTTTGTGTTGATGTTTCATTGATTACAGTATTTCTGCATTGCAGTTTTTGTTTTAAGTGAATGTAAGCCAGTCATTGGGCCCAATCGTGGCCAGATACTGGAATAAAAATGAATGAATAAATTTAGTTTTACATTTAAAGTGAATTTACGCGCATAGAATAATGTGGCTCAGACTCAAATGTTTTCTTTTGATTCCACATTCCAGCATATTTTAGAAGTGTGGGCAGCCCTCATCTTGAAGCTGTTGAAGAGACTGTACTTGTTCTACAGGCAGACAGAGACCAAGATGTTTCCTTTTTTGCCACAAGCAAACCAAAATACAGTGACATGCACATTACATCGCTTGAAAAGCAAAATTAAGTTAAGCTCTCTGGACCACAAAAGATCACTCATCTAACAGGCTGCTGCTTTGGCTATTAACCTAGTGGAAGACTGTGTCAAGCAGCTGATGCAACCCAGAAGGAAAGGGCTTGTTCTTATTTCTGGCGTTTGAATGAGAACGTCGACCTTTTATCTGCAAACTGGCAATACTGATACGGAATCTCACCAGTCCAATCTTTCTTGATTTACTTTCGTGAACATGGATAATAACCATCATCTCTACAAGAAGCCCAGAATTGTGTATGTGTATGCTTGTGTTGACCTCACACATTTTCAGCTCCATCATTGTTCCAGCTAAGAGAATTACGCCTTTCCAAATATGCTGACTCAAAGACAAGGGGAGGCATTCGGCTGCGTGACTACAATTTGCTACAATTCAGTTTGGTACACTTGAGCTTATAATAGACTCGGTGAACATAAACATGTGGGCACTCTTACCTGTTTTGCTGTAATTTGTTCCATGGATGATGGCATCACATTTTATATGATTAAAAAACTCAAAAGTATGCAAAATGTTCTCATGAGAGTTGGCAAAGAATTCAGAAAGCTTGAAACAATATCTGTTAGAAGTTGTGCTTTTTAAAAAAGAAAATGCCGCATCATTGTCTTTTGGGAGTAAAGGCAGAATTTGAGCTTTTTTCCTCTAAGGTAGATGGTGATATTTTAAAACAACCGAGGGCTTTATTTTGTGAATTGTAGCTCTGTTTGTATGCTTGTATGCTCAAGAAACTTCATAGTTAGTTTTTCTTTTCTGCTATTAACTTCATTTTCCTTCTGCCAGAGCTGTGGTCTATATTCATGTAAATTGCAGTCTTCAAACAACTAACTCTGAAGTTCTTACATTTGCCAGGCCTTCCCCTTAGTAAGGACTTATGGATATGGACTAATAGCTTTCAACACTAGAGTATGTTTGAAATTTGTTTTAAACTCTGCTGTGCTCTCAGAAGTACAGTAGATGTAAAGTTAGGGATGCAAACTCCCTGAAAGGATACAGAACCAATCACTTGTATATGAGTAAAAGTTCAGACCTCTGGGAATCTGTTCTTTGTCTAAGGAGGTTTTACTTTTGTGAAGATCAGCGATGGAAAGTTCAGCCTCTTAAATGGTTTTTCGTGCTGCTGCAGTGCACACACGTGGGCTTTTAATCCATGCCTCAACTGCATCCTTCTGCCTCCAAAGATGGAAGACTCTCTAGACCCTGATCCTAACCTATTAGTGTACGGAGCTACTGCCAGAAAGCAAGCCCATTAAATCTCCTTGTCAGTTTGTGGAACTGTTTTGCGCGTGTTCACAGACCATTCTGGCCCACTCAGATCTGGTTTATTGTCGCAAACTATGATTAGAGTAACAAAGTAGCTCTTTTTTGTTTTGGATAAGATGGGAACATGGAATATACATGGAGGAGGGCCAATATAATCTTACCATTATGCTGTTACAGTCTACTTGATATGCAAGAGCTTTGGAAAAATAAAACTTCACTCAGGGCAGATACTTTATGTTCCAGTTCAACAGTCATATCTGTGCACACCCATAAAAACTTGAGCTGTAAAAACACAACTACTTTAGGGATTCTCAAGTCCAGAAACCCAGATTGCATCATCTGTACAGAGAAAAATGATGTCTATTCCATGAGTTCACCAGGGCTCATTCAAAGGAGTGAAGACTGCTGGAGTTAAATATTATGACCTGGGCATATATGCAAGTGTTCTATAGAAGGCTTTTAACAGTTATGAAACAATATCCTATTCAAATTTTCTTTCATTGAGCAGTGGTTAAGTGTTTAAATGTGAAAAACCTCTTAAGAAACATTTCAAGTTTAGCTGAACATAACTGGATTTTTTTAAAGAAGTTAAAGGAGTAACCAAAACTCATTTAATGGCAAGCAGCTCCATTCCATTTAATATAAATAAGTCACAACTATGTTGTCTTAAACACCTTTGTTCCATTAAGTAGTTGTATGGTCTGGATTGTCAGCTTACTTCCTGGTATTATCTTTTATTGGTTTTAAAACTGGTTTAATTTGCCACAATTGCCTGTCAGGTTCTGGACATAACGCTATGAAAAATTATGTTCCAGACTGCAATACAGTGTTCAGTGTTTTGTAGTACTGGTTTTGCAAGATCCTAAAATACTTTTAGCAACAATCTAGAAATGTCTTCTTATTTCAGGATGAAATGTCTGAACTCTGAATTCTGCAAGGTGGTTCTACACTTAAATGTTTGTAATAAGTTTAAAAACAAAATGCCTCATCAATGCAAATGATTTTTTATGACTGCAGTTTCTCAGCAAAAAATGTCAACTTTTGGTAGTTTTAATATCTTTTTCTAATGCTAGCATTAAGTATTTTTTAACACTTCAGATTTTCTAAAATTGTTCTAACCAGTTTTTATTTGTGTTGACCATACCTGGTCATTAATATTTTTCAGCACTGATCATCATTTTTCTTTTTTTTTTAAATGTACATAGAATGAGAAGAACTGTAAATAGTCTGCTGTTTGGACATAAAAGTAATCCAGTTTTGACTGCCATGTTAGTTTTAGATTGATAGATACCCTTCGTACACTAGCCTACTAAATATCATAAACTTCCATGTGTCTTTAGAAAGCTTTTCCTGAAGGTATTGGTTAGTTAGCATCAGTTATGCATGAGTAAGTTGTTGAACTTAATTTTCCTGAAGAGACAAATCAAATTTTTATAAAAATGTAGCACCTTTTTCTAAATTCAAGATTTTTTCATTTTAAATTTGTGCTTTTGTGAAAAGTTACGTTTTAATGTTGAAAAACCTGTAGGTGCATGCACTAGAGGAGAGAATTCTGGGCAGTTCTGCTCACTCCCTCCTGCCTTCCCATTTCCCCTCCGTTCATTTTTTTGTGTTGATTTAATTGTTGGCAATGGCTCTCGCAATGTAATCCTATGCAGGCTTAGATAATGGCTTAGAAGTCCCGCCTTGCCCCGGTCAATTTTAATGGCTGTGCCATTCTGGGAGAGGTGGGCCTTTTTTCCAGCCTAAACTTGTGTAGGATTGCACCTTAAGTTGCAAAAAACTGCACTGATACAACCATTATTCATTACATGTAACTTGTTCGCAACTTCCGCACAAGCACCACTGAAGTACCTGAAACAGCAGCTGTTTTGGAATTGTTCCCCAGTAGAATTTATGCATGACTAGACGATAGCACCTTATAGATCACTCTTTAGGGGCGGGGCGGTAAGCAATGGAGAGGAAAGTAGCATATTCAGTTAAACTGTTTAAACAAAGCCAAACATCTTTTAAAACCTCACGGTGAGCTCATTCCACTCACAAACGTTGCAAGGATTTTCACTTTAAAACATTTTTGGCTGAGGTGCATTAAAAACAAGTGGTTCAAGGTAGGGCACTTGTAATACAAAGAATGCGTGTCATTTTTTGCCTCGAAATTCAACCTGCTGTTGTCTGCTGCATGTGGTTATCAATTTGGCGCCTCTTGGAATCCTGCCCAAGTGGCAGTTGTATGTCTGTAAAGGATGGTGTTTAGGACCCAATAATTGGAGACACTCTGGAAGTGCCACTGATTTCATCAGAACATAGAATCTATGTAACTTTCTATTCATATTTATCTCAATAAATCCCATGACTGCTTTATCAGACATCTTTCTTTGTTTACTTGGCTGAACTGTGGCATAGCAAATTCTATTTAATCATGTAATAATATTTGAGCAGCATTAAACAATGTATTTGTTTTTTTTTAATTTTGTTTTGTTCAGCATGCTTTTAGCCTGCCTTTCAGTGTGCGCTGCGCTCACAAGACAGTGTACAATGATATTTATGTTAAAGTATAATTACAATTAAAAATGCAGAGAGATGCATACATGGGGGGGGGGGGGGGGGGGCAGCAGCAGCGACTAAAGATCTTTAAGCACCAAATGCAGACCAGAGTAAATGTATTGTCAAGTTTTTTAAAAAAGCAGTAGTGGTACCATGTATATCTCCCTTGGGTGAGAGTTCCAAAGATGTGGGGCCATGTCAGAAGCAAGGTTTCATCCTCTTCCCTTTCAAACAATAGACAATTCCTTAGCGAAATGCATTTTTATTTCCAGTGTAGAACCAGCAAACTAATAACCAACAAAGGAAGAATCTCTGATCATGCACAGAGCAATTAGTTGAACACAAACGAGAAACTATTTTTGAGAATCCTCCTTTTCTGTAACCCTGAGTTCTACCTCTCTGAGTGTGCTCCTTTGGAGAAGGGCTAGTTTCAGACCAAGCGTCTCCTATTCCTTTCCCATGTCCCACCCTGAGACTTCCAAACCTTTCAGTTCCCAGGGTCTGCCCGAACACCTGGAGATGGCAACTTTGAGATAAGCTTTCCCTCCTTTGCCATCTCTATGTCCACAGATCTTGTTTCCCAGGCATCACCATCCTCATCTGAAGAGTCAGTGCCATCCTGGCCCTGGAAAGCTTGCCAAGAATAACTGCCTGCCTCATTCTCAGCAGGCCACTAGAGAGAAAGCCTTATTCCAAGTAAAAGATAAAGGCTGGTGGGCTGGAGAGAAGGACTTTTGACACTGATCTTAATGTTTGGGCAGGCTAATCCAGGTGTACATAGTCCTATTAGATAATGTGGTCCCAAACAATTTAGGGATTTAATGGCCAAAATAAGCACTCTTTGTTTGGTCCAGACAGGTTAGTGGGCCCACTGTAACTCCATCTTACCTAGGCTGCTTTATCCTGGTACTCCTAATTCATTATTTCTCTGAAATGCTCACCCAAAGTTTAACTGTCTCCCTAAACTGAAAAGGGAGTTAGAACTATGTATACCATCTGCATATTGATAAGACCTCACCCCAAACCCACAGATGATTTCTCCCAGTCTTTTCATGTAGCTCTTGAAAAATGTGGGTGCATGATAGAACTTTGAGGTAGTACAAATGGTAAAAGGATGGACCCAAAGTTCTCTAGCACCACCAGGGAGTGTGAGGGTCTTTTAACTGCTGCAGCTGCTACGCCAAGCATGTCCATCCCGAAAGCAATAGCTTAGCCACAGTGGTACCAGCCATGCTGGCCTCACGATTAGGTTAGTGTAATGTGCTCTTTGTAGGGCTACCTGTGGGTTTGGTCCTGGGCTGGGCTTGGTACATGGTGCAGCAGCAAGGATGCTTCCTGGGCCCCCCTCCAAAGAGCAAGCTGCATCCTCATCCTCCAAGGACTGCACTAGCTGTCAATGGGCTGCTGGGCTAAGTGGTTAACATATAAAACCCTAAAAAACTTGGGGCCAGGTTATCTTAGGGGAGTGCCTCACCCCTCCTGTCCCCTGCCTGGTCTCCACAATCACCTGAGGAAGTGCTTCTCTCTCTCTCTCCCTCCCTCCCTCCCCCCCCTCCCTCCCCCCATATATGCTGCTCACTAGTCCAAAAAGGATTCTCTAGGCAGCTGTATGGGGTTCATCTAAGGAGTATTTGCAACAGGGAATTGAGTGATGGAACTGCTACCTTCTGAAATGCATGATCCATTCCACTACACAGGCCCCCGCAGCTCTGATCTTAGAGGCCTGCTTAAAATGCATCCCTGTGCAGATGCTTTTGCTGAAGGATGTTATCCCCGTGTTTGTAGCCCACAGCAGAGTTTGGAGTTTTACTCCTGATTAATTTGTATTGTGTTTTATTGTAACTTCTATTGCTCTTATATCAGTTTTTATGTTCACTGCTTTAGCTTCACTATTCCACTTTTGTGGAAAACAGTGTATACATTAAAAGAAATAAAAAATAAAGCCACCAAGAGCTCCAGGAGAACCAAGAGGGTCATATGCTTGCCTCCTTCAGGGCCACCAGGACTACTTGACCCCTTAGTGAGGCACTGGCTACTTTTGGTAGTATCTCTATCCTAGGTCCTGCCATAGCAGACTCAACTAGTCAGGAGGGGTGTGGAGCTGAAGAGCGAGTGGTAGGCCTCTGTCCACCGGGCAGTTAGTTAACCTTGGGCTGCTTCATTGTCCCAGCAACACATTGGGTCAACACTCTGGAGCTGCCATGACTTGCTGGTTTCCACTGGCTTCCCAGATGCTGCGCTGGCGGGCAGAATCGTGGCTCACTGTACAGCAGGAATTGTGCACCCTCAACCAACAGTTACAGGTTTCCCCAGGTTTGTGACCTACTGGCAATATGACATCACACTGCTCTCACCCTGATGATGTGCCGGCCATGCATTGTTCCTGTGTCATGACATCATAGCCTTGAACTTCAGGTGGCAACAGTCCAATGAAAGATGCAAAATCAAAAGAAAAAGCCGCCAAGGGGAACAAGCTTTCGCATCTCCCCTCAATCACTGCAGCGATCGGTACGTTTCGGGGAGCCTGTGTCTCCCCAGTCCCGAGCTTTCAACGTTAAGTTGTACGTGACTGAAGCTCAGGAGCTCTACACAGTGACTGACTGTTACCGTGAGTTAACCATGAAGAATCTGAAAAGCCGGCTGGAGCTTTTGGTTGGCATCCCTGTGAACTTCCAGCGGCTTCGGTATCTGGATGAAGGTGATGTCCTTTTATACACAAGAGCTACTTCCCAGCCAGAGCAATGACACAAACCAGGCTGCTTGTGAAAGTGGTGCATTTCCATATGCTGTCCACAAAAAAGCCTGATTCTGTACTTATGGATAGCTTTCACGGCCAACTTCTAGTATTATAGTATTTATTACTCAAATGAAGATGTGGACAACTCTCTTTCTGGTGATTCCCTTCTGGGGGATTGGTGAGGGAGTACATGCTGGTAGTCAGGGGATCAAAACCAGTACTGGGCAAGACTGCAGTTAAAATGGGTGTGCCACCCCTTTTCCTGGCGCCTCTCTCTCTCTCTCTTTCTCTTTCTCTTTCTCTTTCTCTCTCTCTCCCCTCTCCCCACCCCCTCTCTCTTATATATACACACACACAGTACCCTCTTCCTTCCTGCCCATGTGGTGCCAGATAAGGGGCCCATTTTGTTTTCCAAAGATTGAACTGGCCGCATGCAGAGCGCTTTTAAAAAGGGCCCGAGGGCTCCATGAAATGTGACTGATGGGTGTACAAGGCCCAGCCCTGCCCTCTTGCGTGGCAATATACTCCTGCCTGCAAAATCGCAGAGCTGGTGTGTGCTATGCTATGCTAAAGGGAAAAATTATCCACAGATAATCCAAATTCTGTGGTGTGGAAAGCTGAATTTTGCATCCTATATAAGTCATAGAAATGTACTTTTTATCCAGAAATGTATCTCCCACCCTTGTAGTGCTGATGCTTCACTCACAACAGTTTTAAATCACCATATAGCATAAAGTAATATATTCAATGAAAATACAAAGGCAATAAAATGCAAACAGACAAAATCCTGTTAAAATAAAACTCTTCACCAGCCTGTGAAATCCAGTCAGAGAAGGGCCAACCTGTGCTTCCCAGAGCAATGTGTTCCCCACTATTGGGGTAGCCACCTAGAAGGCCCTGCTCCTTGTCACCCCCAGCAGCGCCTTTACTAGAACAGACACAGGTGGGTCTCTCCTGATCTTTGGCAGCAGGTACAGTGATATGGCAGGGGCTAATCCCAGCTCCAAGCCATGAACTCTGCCGGGAAGCTAACAAGAAATCTGCAGATGTTGCAGGTTAGGAACAGCAGGAGGAACCCACAGACAAGCGCCACCTAATGAACTGCAGCTGCATCTGGACCAACTGCAGTTTCTGAAGATTCCTCAGTGGTTGCCCCATGTATAGTGTCAGAATCCCAGAATTTCAATTTGTGAGGAGGAAATAAAACTCGGGTTCGTGGGAAAGATCAAGCGTCCAGACCATCTTGGCTTTATTGCATGACCCAGGTTCCTGCGGTAGACTCACGATAATGCATTACCGTGCAGGCAGAGGTAAACTCGCTGCAAAGCTTCAAACTGCAGGGTATTTTATATCCTCCCAGTCACGTACAGGTATAGGGCAATTGATGACAGAATGCAGACATTACAATAAGATTCTGAGGTCATCACATACAGGACAGATAAAGGAAGATCAGCCAATCATACAGTGACAATGAGATTACAACATTTCTAATTGCAGTGTATTGACACTTCAGTTGAGTAATTTGAACCCATTTCCAGGTCTGTTTAGACATGTATATTCAAGTTACTGAGAAACTATTCATGAACTCATAAGCTTATCTAGACTCTAGACATTCTGAATGACCAGGGTACATGAAGCCCTCTGGGCTATCAAAAGATACTTCCTGGTAAACTGTGAATTCCAACAATTATTTACAATGTATATTAGGACTAAATGGCCTGTCTACTGTAGCTTACAGCTAAAGGTGAGAGAAAGGAGTGGGGAATGCCATTTTAAACAGTGACAGCTTGGTTTTGAGAAGGAAGACAGGATTTGATCCCACAATGCAAAAAAACACACAGGAATAATGCTTTTCAGACAGGATTTATCCAAATTTTCCCAACAATAGCACATTATGGTAAATCAACCTTGGTACAAATCAGGCATGTGTCACCAGAGGACTGAGTTCTTTAGAAATTGGGTGCCACAGACATCCCAGTCTGAGGTGGCCAAAGGCACTCCAAGAACACACCCAAACTGCATATCTGAGTTTTCAAGGAGAGAATAGAGCAACCCCTGCCCTGTCTAAGGGAAGTTTGTGAGTCCTCCTACATTTATTTAGCATAATTTCACTGTTCCCATTATTTTGCAGAGCTTTGGATTTCTTGTTTATAAAAATGGCAAGAAATCTATGTCCCCCTGACTTGACAATTACATTCAAACAACCCAGTTTGGCTGTATTACCTGCATACTTGCAACCACATTTTTTCAGTCCCAAGGAACCTGAATTCTGCACCAATTCAGAATTGTCTGCCTTCCAGTGTGATTTATTGCGCCCTTGCAGAAATCAGCACTCGTACACCATTGACACACAGCATTTACTAGTGTGATAGGTTTCCCAGGAAGTTATGCAAGTGGCGTTTGAGCTTGTTTTATGTGTGATGTGTCTTAAAGAGACATATCTTCATTTTAGTAATGGCCCCCCTCCCTTGAGTGGATGCATTTTTCTCAGTGATCTGTTTGATCTAGTGTCTATCTGCCCTTTTTGCATTGCAAGTTGGTGTCTGTTACTCAAGAGTAAAGAAGATCTTCAAATACACCTGCCTTTTTCTGCTTCTTGGCCTTGGGGCAGCTGTATGGGAAAGCCATCCCATGCTTGCATATGCTGCTGTCAAAAAAGAAATCAGAAACCCAAACAGCAACACCCCTTTAAAAGCAGTGAGAGTTTTGACAGTGTGTCGTCAAAGTTCCAGTTCATTTCAAGTAGAGAGCGGCTCACACTTTTCCATGTTCCTAAGCACCTAAAGTCTTAGAAACAAGTGGAAAAGTGAAAGGACCATCAAGTCCTCCAGCACCCCTCCCCAAAAGTTGAGCATCTTGCCATGAAGGGGATGTAAAACCCACCAACTCCCCTTTGAAAGCATAGCTCACTTATGTTTTTGGTTCAGCTTTACAGCTCAACTGTTGACAGTAGCCAAACCAAACCAAAGGCTGGGGAAAGCTATTTGGAGGCTCCAGGCCAATGTCCGGGGCCTGTACCCATTGCGCTCTGCCAGCAGGTACTTCCTTGGACTTTGCTGAAGCAAGTCTGCCCCCTTTTGGATCTCCACAAATGCATGGCTGTGCAGTTGCTAAAGCATTTTATTGAAAAAACAACATTCACAAGTACTGTCATGCTTTAGGGGATCCCCAAATATAATTTTTAAAAAGTTGGACACCCTGTCCAAGGAGCTGCTGGGAAGGAGCTGTTATTTGCTGTCAAAATGGGGATTCTTTGGTGGCTGTGGGTGGAGGGAGGTAAAAGGGGAAAAGGCAAAGCAAACTGCAGTGAGAGAAGGAAAACAAATTAGTCCTGCCATGGTGTGTTCTGGGATCCCAGCAGAGAGACAGGGTGGGAGGGAGGGTGCTCAATCATTCAAGAACACTCCCTCCGGATTGCTCACAGAGTACCAGCCAACTGTGACTTATTGCTAGGGTGGGTTGGTGTGACTGCAAGCATCCCCAGTGAATTTGTTGTTGTTGTGTGGTGCCATCCGGTCGGTTCCAACACACGCCTTCCAAAATGTCCTGCCCTGCTCAGCTCTGGTAAAGTCAGCGCAGAGAGTGCTCTCCATCAACCCCACAGAACTGAGCGAGGCGATGCCACACTGTCAGTGCAACCAGTGGTACATGTGGCCAGGAATCACAGGGGGGCCGTGCTTTCGCTGTTTGATGAACAGGGGTGCCGACATCTGCTGGATTACGCCTCAGATGTCTCGCTTCCCCCTGAGTTGAGCTGCAATTCTCACAATAGCAGGGGGGAAATGGATGTTCCCCGAAATGATATATTGCCCCCTGCTGCAGCGCAAACTACCTTGCGGTGGCTTGATCATGGGAGGCAATTAAGGCCTCTTTGCTTTGCAAAAGACCTGGTCCTCCTGGAGATGTAAAATGCTGGAGCTGTTTGTTGATATGGATCAGCTGCTTGAATTTTTCAACTTTTCTTGCAGGCTGTGCTCTGGGGATGGTGATGATGAGAGCTGGTGCTTCAAAATTTCGCACTGCACCACTGAATGTAGCATGAATTGTGCTAGCAGGCAGACAGGAGTGGATCATCCTCATAGCTAGGTTCTCAGAGCTCCTGCAGAACTGCCCCATTCTTGGAGATCCAGAAATTGCTTTGATATGTTTAGGATGGTGAAGTGGCTTTTAATGAAATGCATTAGCTTGCAATGTTTATAGATCAGTGCAACTTCAGGACTAAACATGGCTACCCTGATGCAGCTTGATGTGCTGGTGTCAACTGGCAGAGTGGGAAGGACAATTGCTGGGAAGAAATGGATTGCTGGGAAGGCAGGTGAGTGGACAGGTAGGCAGGTAGTAGAACAGCTTCACTTAGGGTGGCAAGACACAGTCGGCTGGGCATGGGACCAGCTTGCAGCCGACCGCTTTGTGGAAGCACAGTCTGTCTGTCAGTCTGTGGCAGGAACTTGATCTCTATGTTAGCCTCTACCCCAATTACAATCATTAAATATAACTGCCTTTGAAGTCACTTTCCCACACAGACAATCTTTGTTAAGTCCGAAGGCCCTGCTACAATTCCTCCATTCATGTCTTTGCAACCCACCCTTTTCGGTTTCCTTCTGCAGTGGATCTTGCCGATGACTCCACGTTTAGGAAGAATGATATTATCCCTGGAGGAACTCTCACCATGCGGATCTGGCCACAAGATGCTTGGGGGCTTTTGGTGACTGCAGCTGCAAAAGGAAAAATCAGAATGGTTGGTTTGGATTGCTTGTGTAAATACGTGGATATTTTTTCCTGCAAAAACCACATTGGGTAATTTGGAAGTGCCTCACTAGTAGGATGGGGAATGTGAATGTCCCAAGTTCAGTGGCTTCTTAGGTAACATGTTGTGTCCTTTCTTAGGCATTCTCTCTCTCTTCTCTCCCCCGCCATTCATTCTTTTGCACAAATGTCTACTATGACGTGGAAAAGCCTAGTATGCAGGAGCGAACAGATCTCAGCTTGGCTTGACTTGCTTTGCTGCATGGCTCGGCAGCATGCTGGGTGGGCAGACAGGGTGGTGGCCCAGCAACTTAAAGATGGAAGGTTCTTGAAGCATCTCTGTCGCTGGAGGCCCAAGTTCTCTCGGTGGAATTAATCACCTGCTACCAACTTAGGGTGATTTACCTGTTGCTTTCCTACCTGAATAGAGAGCACTTGTCCTCAGTGATCCACTGTTCAGGAACTTCCACAGTCTTGGCTTCTGATGATGTGTCCAGAGTATGACCACCTCAGCGTTGTAATTCTACATTAGACTACTGCAATGCAATTTATGTAGGGCTCCTGTTGAAGAGTGTTCTGAAGCTGTATGTGGACCAGGACCAGGCTTTCTGGACCCATTCAAAAGTGCTGGTTTTGACCATTTAAACCCCATCAGGGACCTGAGTCCTAGCATTGCCTGGCTCCGTGTGTTCCTGCCTGTACTTTTGAGATCCACATCAGAGACCCTTTTGGGGATTCTTCCACTGCTCAGCGTTGGAACGTCCTCACAGGAGATGTGTCACTTCTGAGTCTTTGCAATGCCCATTGTTATGTTTCATTATGTTTTCCCAGCTTTTAAACCTTGGGGAGAGCAACACTAGAGTCTCTTCAGTTTATGAGGGAACGCAGCCCTGTTATTTATGCAAAATGTACTTATCACAGTTCAGAGACATGCTAATACCGTGTGGTTTCCGCTATGATCTCATGTCAGACATAAAAGCAATTGTGGAATAAACTGGAGGAGGGGATGCGTGTAGGAAGATGGCCCATTTGCTTCTGTGCTTGCTTGTTTGTTCAGCTATGCAAAGGGGTAAAGAGATAGATAAAATGGGGTGGGGTGGCAGGGATAGGCAGCTCCCCCTGCCTCCTCATACAAAATCATGGGGATGTAGAAGGTGGAGGGGTGCTGCTACTTGCTCCTGCCATCTCTCCCCCATGGGGCGAAGCCAGAGGGATCGGCTTCCCAGGTCTGCGCCGCCTAAAAGCAAGCAACTGCCCCTCCCTTCCGCTCTCTTTCCCAGGAGTAAGCGCCATTGAAGTCAATGTGATTTATGGATAAGACCATTGGGGACAATCTGATTTCCCATTGAATAAACATGCCTTGCCACTAGTCACTCTTTGAGGCATGAGGGTAAAGGAGACGATTAGGAAGGCTTGAAAGGACACTGCGCACTTTATTTTTTCCAAGGCAAAGGGAGGGGAGGGGGCACTGGAGCATTGTCTTAGTCCGTCAGAGAGAGAAAGAGAGAGAGGATGAAAGAAGCGGGGATGCGAGAGGCAGCAGAGCCACCAAAGGCTCCCCTCCAATCACTGTTGTTCCACCAGAGCCCCTTCCCCCGTCACTCCCCAGCCAGCCACCAAAGGCCCACCTCCAGGCCCCAGAACAGTACCATAGATGTAGCACGCACCGGCGGAGGAGAGGGAGACCGAAGCACCTTCGGAAGTCAGGGCAGAGCTAGCCCGGAGAAATCCAGGACATAACAGCGGGAGTAGCATGAGCAGGACCGTTTGGGGACAGCCTTGTATGGCATGCAAGAGAGTCAGGCACTGCAGTGCTGGTGAAAATGCCTAGTACAGATTGCCCACAGTTGATCTGTTTTAACTGGATTATGTTGCTATCCCGTTTCTGTTGCCCTTTAAAGCTCTTCTGATTGTAGCTTATTCGGATGAACTAGTCGTTTTTTCATGTTTTTTAATATTGCTTGTAATGTGATGAAGTGTGTGAAGAGTAGGGTAGGAGCTATATTTGAAAGCACATTAAAATAAAATAAATAAAAGCTAGGTGGATGAGCTGCAGGTAATGGATTAGTGGAAAACAATGCTGGAATGGAAAGACAGATGGGGGAGTGCAGAATGCAGAGGTGCAGAAGAGGAAAACTGCAAGGTCATGGGCCCTGCTGAGTGCCCAGGCAGTCCATTCCTTGGTGCTGGTCCTGAACGCTGCCTGTTCTTTACTGTTTTTCTAGCAGCTTGGGACTGATTCAGACCATCAAACAGATCGTTGTTGTTGTTACATCTATATCCTGCATTTTTCCTATTGTTAGGCACCCCAAGTGAATCATATAGTCCCTCTCTTCTTCATTTTATCCTCACAACAACCCTGTGAGGCAGGTTGGGCTGAGAGTTAGGGATTGCCCAAAGGCACCCAGCAAGCTTCATGGCTAAAGCAGGGCGAGAACACAGATCTCCTGAGTCCCAGTTCAGCACCCTACTTGCTATTCATGGAATCAAGGTTTCCTCTATCTGCATAATGAAAGGGCACCTTCTTCCTTGTCCAGCTGCCCAGTCACTGAGGTCAACAGATAGGATGGTTCTGGTGGTCTATGGCTTGGTTGGCCATCAGCGGGGCAAGAGGGATTCCCTTTCTGGAGAATCCCCACCTCTGAAGGTCAGGCAGGCACCAACACGCTCTTGCTTTCTCCACTTGCTGGAGACCTCTGTATCTCAACAAGTCCTCCTCGATGGGCCAGCCATGGTCTTCAGTGATATTCTATTTTAGATATGAAGTATCCTTCCTCTTATCTTTTATAATAGATTTATCATGATCTTTCTGGATCTGAAAGATGTGAAGTCATATATACATGCTGCAAATGCGTTTGAACAGTTATGTTCCCATTTGGATCTTCCATCACCAGCTGCAGGGTGTAGGAGCTTCAAAGACCTCCACATTTAACACTGCTAACGCAAACCTAATGCGCCCAGAAGAGAGGATCGAATGGTTAGCCTTTCGAGCATTTGTGGCCTTATTCATTACTGTGCGCCGGCGACACTTAGAAGCTGTGGAATTTCTGCTTCAAAATGGTAGTATCCTACATTCAGTGGGAATTCTTGTAGCTGTCCGGTTTAATATTTTCCGTACTGCAGGTCTCCATGAAATGTGGCAGTTCCTTCTCCTAATGGTCCAACAGTTGGAGTGTAATAAATGATTGCATGAAGACAGCAGGTTAACCCACGCTCTTGAAGGCTGAGTAGGGGCTCCTCTTGTTAGAGACCCGTGTTTCCTTCCCTAGCGCTGCTGGGTAAACCATGTCTGCAGCTCATGTCCTGCTCTAAAGCTTCTCCCTTAGCCTGAATTGCATTGGCAATAGAACACGGGGTAGCATTTTGAAGGGGTAGCACTGACTGCACCATTTCGAATGGCTGGTGGATCTTGCCATCTTCAACTAGCTCCTTGCCACATGGTTTTTAAAAGCAGCAACCCACCACACACTTTCCAGCAAGTTAAAAACAAACACACAAAGTTACTCTGTTTCATGGCCTTAGGGCAGGTGTGCTGGCAACTCATTTCATACATTCCAGCCTACATGACATGTCCCTGTGAAAAAACGATGGGAGCAATCCTTCCTTTTAAAAGAAACTCGAGTTTTGACAGCTAGTTTTTAAAAGTGGGTGACTTAGAACATAGAGCATACAAAGAGTCAGAAGGGGTCTCCTGGGTCATCTAGTCTGACCCCCAACTCTAGCCAACTCCTCTCACAACATGCCTACCATGTGCATGTCTAGCCTATCCTTGAACACCCTCACTGATGGGGCCTAAACCACCTCCCATGGAAGCCCAATTCATAGCCTAGAGGTCCTAACTGTCAGGAAGTGCTTCCTGGCATCGAAATGGAACCTTGGTTCCCTGAGCTTTGCTCCGTTGGAGCACATCTAGCCTTCCTCTGCAGGGGAGAACAAGTCTCTACCCATCTCTGTGTGACACCCCCCCCCCACATACCTTTATGTCACCAACAGATCCCCCCAGAGTCTCCTCCAGGCTGAAAAGACCCAGTTCCCTCAGTCTCGCCTCATAAGGCTTTCCCTGCAATCCAGCCACCTTTCTTGTGGCCCTGCACTGCACCAATTCCAACCTGGCTATATCCTTCCTGTAATGTAGAGCACAATACTCCAGTTGTGGGCGCACCAGAGTCGTATAGAGTGGCAGTAATACCTCTCTCGATCTGGAAGCCACGCTTCTGGCTATGCAACCAAGGGTGGCGTTCGCCCTCTCGACCACTTTCTCTTAGATGAGTTTCTTTTTAAAAATAAGAAGTTAAACTTAGGCCTATTAAATGCTAAGGATTCCCTGTTTCCTCTGCAGGTGCTGATCTGAGGCGTAAAACGCCACTGGGTAGAACGGCTCTGCATGTCGCTGTCACATCAGGCCACACGGACTGCATTAATATTCTTCTCAACTGGGGGGCCAAGATCTCCGATGAGGACAATGAGGGGCTTAACGCTGTGCTCCTGGCCCGTCTGTGGGGGCAGAAAGAAAGCGAGCGACAGCTCTTCCGGCACCAGTGGCAGGTGCGAGCAAGGCAATCCGCTCACCCCTTGGTCAAGCCCAAATCGGAGGAGCCTGTGGAAGCTCGAGTCCAGGACTAAGGTGGAAAGGGACGAGATAGCTGGAGGAGTGGCAGCTGGTGGGGATACCTCTGAATGTTTTTCTCAGACGTGCAGGCTCCTGTTGTTTAATATTTACTTATTTTAGAGGCTGAACTGTGTGGCCAGGTCAGTTTTGGTGGGGTTGATGAATGGGTGCTTTCCTTCTGAAACACCATGGGTTTTTCAATGAGCACACAATGAGCCTTAATCAGGATCAGGGTTGCTAGGGCAAGGCCTCACACTTAGGGACCTCACTGGCACTCTTGGGAAATGGCTAGCCCAATTATAAAGAGATCGTTATCCCAGTCTTGGGAGGTAACTTTGATGTTCAGTATTTGGGCAGTAAATGTGGTCCATAGCATGCTCCTTCAGATCCCAGTCTCTGTAGGAAAACTGCAGAGGATGCAACATGTTCAAGATGGATGAGGGTTACATATTTTCTATAACAGAGCTTCTCTTGTTTAAGGTACTGACTGGGGTTTCACAAATGGAGGAAGAAAATCAGTCACCACGGCCTTTTTTCCTTTCTCATCACATGCTGATCATGATGCCAACTGGTTGCCATAATTAACTTCACTGATTGTGTCATGTCACATCATCTGAACCTGGGAAGGTGCGTGGTGGGTGATGGGCGGGTTTACAAACCATCCTGGAAGCCATGGCTTGCTCTAGGGTTGTAGGGCGGCCTGTAATCCATGAGTTCAGATGACATGATGGAGAGGGTATTTGGGTGGTAACTAGGAGGCATACAGCTGGCTCACCTGGGGCCTTTCGTCATCTCCCCTGTTGCACAAACTTGCTTACTGTTACTTCGGAACAGATCGGACAATGGAACACACGTGCCAAACTCCACACACACAGTTTTATGAAAACACACTCTTCCCTGCATCCCAAAGTTTGGGGAAGAGAAAGTTGGTACCACCCATCCCTGCTTGTTAGGAGCAATTTCTGCTTCCGTCACCGTATCATTTTAGGAAGAAGGGAAATCCTCAGATTCTTTGGTAGAAAACGTCAAGTGAATGAACTGTCAGGGTTGTGTTTAGGCAATTTCTATCGCACCCTTCTTCGGAGGAGTTCAAAATGTTGTCCGCAGCTGATCTTGCATTCAGGGACCCCCCAAAAGGGCTAAGCAGCACCATGGCATCGTGAACCTTTCCACTTGTGCCTTGAATCAGTTAAAGAATCGTTCAGGTTCCCCGCTCCCTAATTCCGAAGGTCTCCGAAGTTTAAATTGTTGCACTACTGAAGAAACTTTTCCCCTTTTCGTTTGGAATGCTTTTTGCAGCTTGTGCAACAGCGATGTCATTCCAGCATCACCCAGCAGGGGGCATGCAAGGATCAGACACCAACCAGTAAACGACACAGGTGGCTGAGTATTTTGGATTCCTTTTCCCCAGTCCCGGAATACCTCAAAGAACAACCCGTAAAAATGAGGGCTGGCTTAGAAATGGCAATGCCACACAGCCAGCGAATGCAGGGCTGCTTCTGTGTTTGGCTGGCCACACAGGATTGTCATGGCCACGGGAAAGCGAAGGTACAAGAAAGGGAATGTAAGATGGTTGTAAATGTGCATGCAGACTTCTCTCTCGAGATGCAATAGGTAGTCCTATCTTTCCACACTGCAAAATATCCAGGTGCATCTCTTTGTATGTATCACACTGAGCATTCCAAAAATAGTGCATGGGAAAGTTTCTTTATGCCTTTTCTGATTTGTATGCCCTTTTTGTTTTTTCCACTTTAAAAAAAGCTTAAAAGCTGCTGTCTAATTGTGGTAGTTTGTATCACATTCCTGACAGATGCTTGAGTTATTGAAAGATGCTACTGACTAATGAATGCTTTGCATATCAAGAAAAAATGCACAAGAAGCAATTCTGGAAGAGACTTCTGCCAATTGTCTAGACCAGCTTCACTCAACCCACGGCCTTTCAGAGGTGTTGTGCTGCAGTGGTGCCAACTAGGGATGATGGAAGTTGCAGTGCAATTCCTCTGGAGGGTGCCAGGTTGGGTGAGGCTTCTCCGGACTGTCAGTTTAATCCATATTGTGGCAGGAACTAGAAACGGGTGAAGGATTTGTGACTCCTCCCGGAGACATCGTGTGCTTAGCCATCTCTTAGTATAACTTGTCATGTTGGGTAAGATTAAACTAGGCCACTGAAAATGAGAACACAACATTGCCTGGGGACAGTGGCTTTCTATCACGAACAGTGTATTTATTTGCCATGATGATTACACCAGGAACACGCCACATGACACCGCGGAATAAAATAAGGTTAATTCTAAAAAGCTCTGTCCTTGCCCCAAGGAGCTTACAATTGGAATTGAACTGCATGGGAGATTGCAGAGGGAAGGACAGGGAAAGGCAAGGGGGCATGGATGCAATTAGTTATGCACACTTATTCTAGAGAGACTGTGTGGTGTAGTGGTTAGAGTGTTGGACTGGGACTCAGTCAATCTAGGTTCTAGCGCTCACTCAGAACCATAAAATAGTAGAGTTTGAAGGGGCCCAGATGGCCATTGGGTCCAATCCCCTGCAGTGCAGGACTCAAGTTAACCCCCTCCTCTCAGGTGATTGTCCAGCTACATCAGTGTGGGAGAGCCCACAACCTGCCCAGCTCATTGGTTCCACTGCTGTACTGCTCAGAAAGTTCTTCCTGATGAGAAACTGGAATCTGGATTCCTGTTACTTGACTGGTTTTTCCTGTTCTGCACCCTGGAATGATTATTAATTTATATACTTATGCACATATTTATATGCTGCCTGTAACTGCCAAAAGGCCTTCCTAGGTGGCTTACAACAACATATTAAACATATTTTATTTATTAATTTATTAAAACATTTCTATGCTGCCCCTTGCCGTAGCCTCGGGGCGGCTCACAACATAATAAAATACACATATGTATACATGACAACATATTAAAACCTATTGAAACAATTAAAAATTAATTATCTTTAATTAATTAATGAAAAATGAAGAAGCGATCCCAAGAAGCCTACTTGGTTATGTTGGGCCAGTCACTGATTTTCAGACTAACCTTCCTCACAGGATTGTTGTGAAGAGAGGAGAGCTTTCTTAAGTCCCTTGGTTCCTTGAATGAGGAAGAAAGGTGGGTTATTGCTGTGATATCAACAACGATAATAAATGTCCATCGGGGCTGGCCCAAGGCATTTTGTTGCTGGAGGGGAAGGACAAAATGGCACCCGCTCCCTTTTCTAGCAGTTGAGGTTTATTTCAGCACTGGCGAGAGGACGATTTCACTTGCTGCACTGAAGGGCAGCGGGCAAACTTGGCGGGGTCTGTGGAGGCTGCTTGGAACACAGAGGACAACGCTCGACTTCGGGAATCGCTAGAGGGCCTCCACCCAAGCCAGCTTCTGCCCCGGAGGTGTCTGCCGCCGGTTGCCTCAGGGAAGGGCCGGCCTTCTTCCCAAGATGCCTTTACTGCATCTGAAGGAGCAGCAAGTGCCGCACAGCAGGTTTCTCTCCGCAAAATGCAGCATGTGTAGCTAGCCTTTGCGTGCCATCGCGCCAGCCAATACACAGAAGTGTTCGGGATGTTTTAACAAACAGCCTGATGTCTAATTTTAGTCATGTACGTCTCTTTCATCTGTCAGTTGGGGCTGTTTGATTCAGACTTATTTTCTGGGGGAGGGAGGAGACTAACTTGCTTTGGCCATACTTTTTATTCCACCATATCACTCTTCTCAAAGCTCTCTAATGCCAAAAAAAAAAAAAAAAAAAATCATGAAGCAGGTACATTGTAGTTCAGCTTCACTATTCAGTAACAAGGACCAGAAGGAATGTCCGTGAGTGTTAGAGCAAAAAGTAGGTCTGTGTTAGCTGGTGGAGCTCTAGGTCTGACTCCCAACTGGGTTGCAACCATCCCATGGGATCCCACCCTCTTCCGCTCGTCAGACTTCTTTCCTGTGCTCAGCCCTGGCTTAGGAAACGAGCTGAGACCAAAGGAAGTGTGCAAACAGTCACAAACACTCTTGCTCAATCTGGAAACCTTCCCCCTTAGCACATACAGCACACGCAATGTGTGCAAGTCACATATGTGGAAGAGGGAATCTGCTTGCCCAGTATTTGCATGGTCTCGATCCTGGCAGGTGCCTGCTTCAACACTGGGAGCTAAACTGGACTCAGGGCTGGAGCCTGGGGGTGGATTCCCACCCACAAAGCTGATTCTTCACACATCCCTACTTTCAGTTGTGTTGTTGTTGTTAGATGCAAAGTCACGTCCGACCCATCGCGACCCCATGGACAACATTTCTCCAGGCCTTCCTGTCCTCCACCATCCCCCGGAGTCCACTCAAGCTCACACCAACTGCTTCAGTGACTCCATCCAGCCACCTCCTCCTCTGCCATCCCCTTCTCCTTTTGCTGTCAATCGTTCCCAGCATCAGGGTCTTCTCCAGGGAGTCCTTCCTTCTCATTAGGTGGCCATAGTATTTGAGTTTCATCTTCAGGATCTGACCTTCTAAAGAGCAGTCAGGGTTGATCTCCTCTAGGACTGACCGGTTTGATAGCCTTGCAGTCCAAGGGACTTGCAGGAGTCTCCGCCAGCACCACAATTCAAAGGCCACAATCCTTTGGCGCTCAGCCTATGGTCCAGCTTTCACAGCCATACATTGCAATGGGGAAAACCATAGCCTTGACTATACGCACTTTTGTTGGCAGGGTGATGTTTCTGCTTTTTAGTATGCTGTCTAGATTTGCCATAGCTTTCCTCCTAAGGAGCAAGCGTCTTTTAATTTCTTGGCTGCAGTCCCCGTCTGCGGTGATCTTAGAGCCCAGGAAAAAATCTGTCACTACCTCCATTTCTTCCCCATCTATTTGCCAGGAAGTGAGAGGACCGGATGCCATGATCTTAGTTTTCTTCAGTTGTATAAATCGTAGCAAAAAGGGGCTACTTGCTCATTATGCTGCTGAAATGACTGGAGTGGATTTCTCTGTGGAAGGACTGCAAGGTGCCTTCAGTTCTGGTACTCAGAAGAATCCC